ACTGCATCTCGCTCCCAGCCTCCTACACCAGAGGAGCAAGGGGAAGGGTTGGGATGGTCTGCTGGGACAGACGGTCACAGGGCAGCGTCCCACGGGGAGGTGGGACGGTGGGACAGAGAGGTGCTGAGCTAGGAGCCCTTGTCGGCCAGAAATGCTCCTGGAAGCCCCCTTGCTTCCAGGGCCCAGCACGCTATCAGAGACTTAAAACTCTGCCAAAGCTGCCTCGAGAAGAATGACAGGGGGTCAGAGCAGCAAAGCCACGCGCCAGCCTCCTGTCATGTGTGGAGATGGATGCCACCCCCCCAGGGCCCGCAGCGCCTCCTCGGGCACCGGGTGCATCCATGCGCCGGTCTGGGTTACGCTCACTTTTCAAAGACTTTAAGATTCTTTTCTCCATGGTGCAACTAGCCCATTTTCCTATCTTTCAAGTCAATGAACTACTAAATTTTCAGATTTCATTTCCAGATTTCAGCAGAATCCATGGCACCGGATGCTTTTAAGTTTGCTAAGGTGTTGAATCAAAATGCAATACTATAAATCATTAATGCACCCCTGTGTCGCAATGAAGCTGGAATATTTTAATCACTGAATAATGAACTCAATACTCACAAATCTCAGCTGTCATTAAGAGATCTGCATGCCTCTGTGTGCCTCGCGGGAGAGGAAATCTTGCAAGTGGACTGAATGTGCCCACTGGAGGTGCAGCCAGGAGCACTGCAGCAGTGGTGGGACGTGAGGGGCTGTTTTTTGCAGCCCTGTTTTGTGTTGGACAGTGAGTTAGCATCCTTAGTGGTACCCACTCTTTAAGCAGCGTGATTGCTAAAAGAAAAAACAGTCAAGCTAACGTGCTGCATGGTTCCTGAGTAGGAATAATGGTGACCTGAGCACATTACAGCTTGGACAAGCGAGAGGTTTTCAAAGTGAACACTACCAGGCTGTTTGCCTTGATACCATGAGAGCTTTCTCCAGCCCCACTGTGGACAGACAGGAGCTGGAATGCAGACAGAGCACGAATGTCCTGTCCGTGAGGTCAAATACCATCTTGGAGTTGGAGAGGCCCTGGAGACACTAGTGTGGAGAAAATTAGAAATGGCAGACCTGGAAGATGGTGAACAGAAGGCAGAAGGGCAAAGTTAAAACAACTCTGCAAATACTGGGACATGCCTGCAGGCAACAAGAGACACAGTGTCCCCAGCACAGATGGAGCATGTGGCTTGGAGCTGTAGCAGCTGCAAAAGGGGAGGATGGTTGGCCCTGCCAGGGGAAAAGGGGAACAGGCATCAAGCATTACCAAGTAAGACCAGCTTCCTTGAAGAAAGGAAACCACTGGAAGGACAGCATCGGGCTGGAAAACAGCCACAGCCAGCATAGAGGCTGGACACAAAGAAAGAGGTGCTGATATCTCTGCCTGCCCTCAGTTAGGGCGTTCACCATGATGCACTGCTCAGGTGTGTGGTCCCACAGCTTGTAGGACCTACCTTGTGGTGTCTTGCACTGTGACGACAAGCCCGAGTGTCCAAAACTGCAATACTGGCAGGGTGGGGCTGCCATGCAGCCAGATATCTGCATACTCATGGGAAATGCAAGGTCAGATTAATATCACAGGGACAAGAGAGCAGTGTGGTCCAGGATGGGGGGGACCCATCATTTTGGTACTGCCAGAGCTGGGTCAAAATCACATTCACAGTAAGAGACAGCTGATGGGACCCGTGGGAAGTAGAAGTCAAAGATTGCCCCTTCCTTTCTTCACAAAGATAGGAGCAGTTGTAACAGTGCTGCCACAGGGCTATTGCAGTGGGCACAGAGCTGCCAAACGGCCACCTGAACCACAGGAAACCTCCCTGGCTCTGGAAAGAGCAGGTCAAAGTACCATGCACCAGTCTTTCTGGGTCCACAGCGTAACTGGGGCTCAGATATTCTTCCCCCAGGAGGCAGGTGAGACAAATTTTCCGCTCTGAGTTGTCCCGCCCCATCCTATCTTGGCGGTAGGACCGCACTGAAGCCCACAACAAAGGTGTCTTGGGTTTGGTTCATTTTTTCTCTAGTAAGAAAATGGATGCAGCACTTTTGAGTTTTGGGTTTGCTTGATACTGCTCTGTACCACGGTAGGGCAGCCCAGATAAAGCAATGGACTCAATCCTTGGGGGAAAAATTCTAGACATCTGCAAAAAAATTGCAATCACAAAATTGTTTAGGTTGGACAGAACCTTTGGAGATCATCTAGTGCAACCCTTCCCTGCTCAAATCCTTGCTGTATCTTTTTCTTCCCAGCATCACAAAGCACTTGGAGATGCCATGCTGGTGTAGATGGTTCACACTGCAGGGTGTAACAGCACACAGAGGCACAGCAGGACGTTCAGCCAGCATCCTTCTGTGGGTGACCATCAACAGTGCCCATCAGATGTGACTTCTGCTTCACCATGTTTGAGACCATGACTTCACAGGTGGAACATCCTAGAGAATTATGTCCAGAGATGTTCCCCAGGACACGAGGGGCTTGGAGCAAGTCCTGCCAACTGACCCCTGAATTAATTTCAACCTGGACAACACTTGTAGACCTTGCAGCAGTGTAATAGTGTTTGGCACTCCAACAGGACTGACCAAAAAATTTACTTAAAAGTTGAGCGGGCTACAGTGCTCTGAAGGGCTTCCTTTCCCCATCAGGTCACTGTAGAAGTGCTTGTGGGGGTGGTAGATTTTCTCCTTTGGAGCACAAGACCGATCACTTCTGAAGAGAGGACCCTGAGCGACCTGGACCAGCGTTGCAAATCTCATTTCTTCATTGATTTTCTTGAAGGATGCTCTGGAGGAAGCTGGGTGTATATATTTGTGTGAGTGAGGGATATTAGAGACTTGTGCAGTGAGATTATAACCAACACTGAAGGTCGTTCTCTCCTAAACCCCTCTTTTCATGCGTTAACAACTTAAAAAAAAAAAAATAAAAATCTTTGTGCTGAAGATGTCTCAGGCTTCATCACAGACAAATGTTTTTTGGGGGGAAAACTGAGACAAAATCTCTGTGGATGTGTTCTGCATTATCTGAGCTTGGGAAGAAAAGAAAAAAAAAAAAAAAAGCCAGGGGGAAAGCACTCCCTGGTAATACTGTGATAATCCTCTTCTTCCAACATCCTGCCCAGCAACAGCCACTCTGCTCTGCCACTACTCCCCCTGCGAGACCCCCCTGCACTCCTCCTTTCCTGCTGGAGCCATTTAGAGCAGAGCAGGTGGGTGGACCAGGGCACCCGTGCACGCCTGGGAGATGCCCAGCTAGAGCACCCCTTGGGCAGGCAGCTAGAAGACCCTGCCCCCCTACCCACCCCGGTGCCTCCAGGGGAGAGTTTCGAGGCCAATTCCCCTGCAATTAGCACCAACGGGGCAGGAGACACTTGCTCTCAGCAGACAATGCTGCTGGCCAGTCTTGCACAGGGTTGGGAGGGGAAACCTGGTCCAGGTCTGCCCAGCCCACACAGCCCCTGTGTACAGAGCACGGAGGAACACCCGCAAAAGAGAGTCCACTTGAGGCAGGGAGAGACGTGGCCCAGCAGGCAGGGCCAGAAGAAATTGGAGCACCCCACCAATAAGCAGAGAACTGCCCCAAACAAACAAGACCAGAGAATGGGGATGGCTCCCCACAGTGCAGGGAGGGAGAACCCCCAACCTCAGCTCTCAGCACATGGACTCCAAACCAAACAGCTTCTGCTGGTTGAGCTGCTGGGCTCCAGCCCCCGAGGCTTGTTCGGGGTCTCCAGAGCACCAGCAGTGTGGTTTTCCCCCAAAACACCACCCAGCAGGCCCACAGCATGATGTGTTGGGCTCAGGGAGCGTGGAGGGGGTCTGGGGGATCAGGGAGCACTGGAGATGCCGATGTCCGATCCCTAAGAGCCCAGCCACTGTCCCCAAGGGTCAGGCAGATCTTACAGTCCCTGCTGGAGACCATCACCAGCTAAGGGCTGCATACATCCCCCCGACTTGCAGCTCCTGATCCCAGATGCTTTCAAACTCTTTCTGCTTCCCATCGTGGGAGACAGCACAGCTGCTTGCACATTTAAACCAACACCAATTAGTCCCCCCTAAAATTACAGGTCTGAGTAATTCCCCTTCCAGCCCAGGGGAAGCGATTGTTCCCAACAGACCTCACGCTGTGAGCACCTGGCATGACCACAGCTCCAGGAATGGGCTTGTGCCACAGAGAAAGGAAATTCTGTTTGATGGTTTTGGCAAGGTGAGCTGCCTGCTCCGTGGAGGGGAAAGAGGAGCTCGAGGTCCCCGGCCAGGGCTGCAGAGCTTTGGCAGGGGGCAAGCAGGCAGGCGGGCTGCAGAGGCAGGAAGGCAGCAGCGTGCCAGGCTGCCCCGGGGCTGCGTCCCACCTCTGCTGGGCTCAGGCCAGGTGGAGAGGTGGTTGACACAGGGAGGAGCCCAGGGACTCTGATCACCCCACTGCTTCACAGACCCGCCCCAAGATGCTCAAAATAATCGCTCAGGCCTTTGCAATTCTTCACCAAGTGCTGAATCATCCTTCTGCAATGTTTGCATTAGGCATGCAGGAGCAGTAGAGCCTTTTGCAGTGAGCAATGGGAAGGTGGGGACAGGTACTGGCACACAAACAATGAAAAGTATCAGCAGTAAAGCTCTGTGTCACCTGCTCTGCTGGCCCTCCTAAGACTAAGTGGAGGAGGCGACAGTGCCTACCAAAGCTTGGCAGTTACCGGTGCATAGCCCAGGAGACAGGCAAAGAGAGTTTAGACACATAGCAGGGCTGACAGTTTGGTTTCCTCAGCATGAAAGTAAGTCACTGTGAAGCCCCAAATCACTAGAGCTGTAAGCAGACCCAACCCCGACTGCAAAGCTCCTGGGATCCCACATCCAAACACCCACCGCAGGGTCCCATCAGCTGCACCAAGCCCTGGTCAGCTCTATCACCGATACGCTGCACTAGCCCATCAAGTGAACAGCAATGTCGCTCCTCTAAAAAAGAAAAGCCTGCTCAAACCACTGAGAAATGGATGAGTAAAAGTGGTTTGTTTATTTAGACTTTCAATAAAACTTTGACAGTATCCTCCACTGGGGGATTTAAAATCTTGCAACCTACCCTGGTTACACACAAGGACACCAGAACTATTGTGTGTTTAATAGATCTACTGAGATGTGGCAGATAGCAGAGGATTATCTGGGTTAGTCGATGAGAGAGGCTGTAGGGAGCTGCAGAGGGAATTCACTGCTAACAGAGACCAGTTTTGCTGCAAGGGAAACGTAGTGTTGATAAATGGAAGTTCACACACGCCACAGGGATCATCTGACTTACTCCTGCATATCACTAAATTCACTATCATCTATAACCACGCTGGAAAAAGCCCCGTGTGTCACTGGACAGCTCAGTAACAACAGCTATTAAATGCTCAGAGACAAAAGAAACAACTTACTGTTTGAAGTGCAATGGGCTAAACAAATGTAATATTATTATGGCATTAAGTATCAACTGACAGGGTGGTCCTGCACCGAATAGTGTCTCAGCTGTAGCCTCAGAGCTGGAAGAAATTAAAACAACACAAGTTGGATAAAGGGAATGACCCGTATGTCTGTAATTGTCAGTGGGTCCTTTCAGCCATCCCACCCATCTTCCACCCAGTGCAGAGCCCTCCTTGTGACTCCTGCAGAAGGTCAGAATGGGAGTTATTTACCAGCAACTGAAGACTTTCTGGCTGTGCATTCACATGTAGTCTCTACAGACAGCAAAGCCCTGCACGTGGCTCAGCTCATGGCAAGCGTACATCAAGATGCACCATGTCCATGGGATGAGGTTTGGGAAAGATGCTCTGGGTGATGAGAGACTGGATGAAAGTGGGTGGAGGGCTAGGATGAACCTCCGGGGAGATCTCGTCCAGGTGAAGCACAGCAGGGTGGAGAAATGAGGGTGGCTGGCAAGGACTGGAGCTCTTCCCTACCAAAGTGCTGGCCAAGAAGGCCAACACCATGGAGTAGGTGACATATGGCCTTGGCCTCCTTGGGCAGAGAAAGCTAGATTCACATGTCAGGGAAAGCCATCATCATGCCCGTTAGCAGGTTCAGCACAGCTGGAAGGGCATGGATTATCTCCACAGGCAGTTTGAAACCTGAGGCAGGGCTCCACTCACCTTATTACAGCCAGGAAGAGGAGAGCAAACTCTCTGGCAGGAAGTTTCTAGTGGCCAGAAGACCTGTGGGCTGAGGCAGTTTTGCACGGCACCAAGCTAGATCTAATCTACATGGGCAGACCCGTTTGCTGGCAGCTACTCTGTGCTCCAAGCGAGTATGTGTACAACTGATCCATCCTGGCCAGCCCTCCCCATCTGCAAGAGGCTCTCAGGCCAGCAGGAGAAGGTCTGGGAAGCACAGAAAAGAACACAAGGAGACAGCCTGCCCAGACCAGGCTTCCCATATGCTGCAGGGCTCTAAATATCCCCGATCCAGGGGATGGAGGGATTATTGGCCAACAAACTTGACCCTGAGTTCCCTTGGAACAAGACAGGGACTGACTGCCCCTATCAGAAGTGAAAGGCCACTGTCTGGACTGCCCTCAATGCTGGACATCTCAAGGGTGTCTAAGAGGGGAAGGGAAATAAGGCTAATCTGTACGGATGGAACCTTACTAGTGTTGATGCCCTTCAGCACTTTGCCTTTGCTAGAGTACAGAGACGGGAGCGAACACAGTCCCCCAGCACAGGGGGGTGAAAGCTGCCACCAGGTCACTCACTCCTTAGCCACACCGAGCAATCAGAGCTCCTTTGCAACCGTGCAATAAGGCAGATTTTCCAGCTCGACTTGTGCTGGTAGCTGTTTCCCCACACAGCCTTCAGTTTGTCATTTACTTACACACTGCTGTGGGTGAGCAGCTGTACGGGAATGACATCTAGTTGCAGCAACGCTCAGAGCAGGGCGAAGCAGTAAACACCTCCTGACTTCTGCCAAAAGCAGCTACTAAAGCCCCTAAACGTCGCTCATGGCTCCACACGCTTCTGGTTATGACCAGCAGACCTCAGGATGCTTTCAGACATCCTGACCTCAGTCCCCTCCTCTCTCTGCATGGCCAGCATCACCTCTTCCCAGATACACAGCCTGACATTTAGTGATACTAAGATGCACGCAGCTTGCCTGCGCCTGCATGCCAGGCAATTTGGATCCCCACGGCTCCTTATTGCTCCTTCAACCTCTGTCTCGCCAGCACACTTTGCTGGCAAGGACTTTGTGTTTCCTTGCAGGTCACAGGAACAAGTCTGACCCATAGGTGCTTCCCAGCCCCACTCCCATTTGTAGATGAGAGCTATATATAGCAACTTAACAGCAGGCACTACAAAGCATCCATGTGTCTTGTATTAAATGGACTGAGCTACACTTTATCAGGTTTTCTTAAATATGATTAGAAACCTGGGCAGACATCCTGCTTTGAGTGATGATAAATGGTGCTGGGAGAACAAAGTGAGAGCTTCTGTTTGCGTTCTTCATCGTGTGCAAAAGGCTGGCTGCAGACCCAATAAAAGAAAGCACTGTTTTAATGCAGAAAATTAGGAATCATGGCGACTTACTGCAACAAGGCATCGTACAGCTGACTGTGCTGGAAGATTAGACGCATTAACCGATGCTGGAGAGGCAGCCGAGCCCCCTCCATTAGCCAGCCTGCTCCTCCCCATTACAAAAGGTTTTTGAGCCCATCTCCCAGGGGAGCACACCTGAGCTCTCACTGCAGCAAACCACGATATTCGGGAGAGGGAATTCCCTCTGGCTGCCAAAGCATCTCATCTCTGCCCTGCAAAACGCCACTCAGTGTTTGATAAGCTGGAGGCTGTTGAAATCACTGCTCCCATTTTCCAGTGCTTGAATTCACCAGGGGCGTGCTAGCAGCCTGACAGACCAATAATGAAATCTGCCAAGACATCAGCATCAGCCAGGGCACAGGGGCTGCCAGGGCTGCCCAACTCACATGGAGGGGTTTCAGACCACTGGTACCTGCTCTCTTCCCCCTATCCCCCAGGAGAGGCTTCAAGCAACATCCAAGCTGCCTCTGTGCTCCCACCACCTCCAACCCTCACTCCTGGGCAAGGCAGCATCATCTTTACATCTAATCACAGACGGGTCAAATTTAAAAAAAACAAAACAAAACAAAAAAAACAACAAAAAACAAACACACAACCAAACCCAATCCAAAGCCCAGAGCACAGAATTTGCATAATAAGGTGTTAAAATAACACCTTGGGGCTGGCAAAACTACACTTTGCATTGGGAAGTGCCAAGTGAGGACTGCACCATGCCTTTTTCCAAAGGATCCCCCAGTGAACTGGACAGACACCAGGTCAGAATGAAAGTTGTGCAAAAACCAGACATTTCCTAACAGTTGCAAGCTTAGTCCTGCACCCTAAATGGCACCAATTAATGCATGGAGATATACAAATCATTAACTGATCTAACGTCCTCCATGGGATGTTACTCCCCAGGCTTCTGTTACAGGCACTCTGCCCTTTTTCCAAAAGCATCTGGCACCTGCAACAGGAGGACAAAGCAAAGGGCAGGACAGTCCCATGCTTCAGCCTGACCTGACAATAGCTTCTCTTCCTTACAGAGAACAGCATCAAGGACAAGAGTGGAACAGGACCCCACAAAACCCAGTGGGTCACCCAACACCTGGCTGAAGATCTATAAAAATCATGTTTCCAGAAACAAGGATTTTTCCTTCCAACCAATTGCTTTACATGACACTCTGTAGCTACATCCTTCCTTCTCCATGTTTTATTTTTACATAGAAAAAAAGAATAAGCAGCATAAAAAGAAAACACTAGTGATCAGCATCTTCAACATTGTGCACACCAGACTAGGATGTGCCCTGGGAAAAGCATCTTCCTTCCAGGTATGGGAATGCTAAAATTGCAATTTGCTCTGACATACATATTTCATCCAGCAGGAAAAAATTGAAATGGGAGGATCTGAGCTGTTATCTCCTTATATGGGTGATGCTTGATGGTCTCTCTACAGCTGCAGAGCTCTCACTGGGTGTATACTGCTGGCAGGACTCTGCTGAGGATACGTCCACACAGGCTCTTGCAGGGCACAAAGGCAGAAGAGACGGCCCTAAACAGGAGACATGAGCCTGAACTGCTCCTGACGTGTGATCCACACCATCCCCCTTCAACTGTGACAATACTTGGTCAACAGAGACCAAACAGATCAAAGCCAAAATACACTGTGTGCGTGCTCTTCCCTAGCTAAGTTCCCCTTGCCTTATGAGAGGGCTATAAATAAGGCAGCTTCTCCCCAAATCCTGTTAAACCTTTCTCTTCCTTCAATGTTTTTCAGGAACAAAGGGACATCAGTTTCACATAGTGCTCCCTGCAGGTACTGGCTCCCAAATGAAGCCTAGGACATCTGCAAAGCACTGCCTAGACAATTCACCCCCTGCTCCAGAGCACTCACGCAGCCTGTGCAGGACTTCCACAGCTCCCGGGACCCAGGGATCCAGGAAAGGGGGAACAGCTTCCACCTCCACCAGCCTGTGGTACAAAATTCACTGCTTACCTCTCCAACACATCTGCTCAGAGACTATCAAGACATACTTGCTTGTTCTGTCATTATGCCGATACTCATCCTAAGCGCCATGCACAGCTCTTCTGTGTCCAGGCAGGCATAAGATAGTCTCCAGCAGTTCCCCCTCTGCTCTCCTCCCGGCCAAGAGAAGTCCCAGGCTTTTTCACTGCTTCACCTCAGTAACAGATATATTTTACCCTCTCCATAGGTGGCCATGGCCCTGTTTCAGGCTCCTCTTTAAGCAGTGATATCCAGGGCTTGGAGCTGTGCTTCAGCTTTGCAGTGGCTCGCCGGCTGTCCATGCCTGCCAGCCCAGGAGCTGGGAGAGGCCTGGGAAGCCCAAGAGGAGCTTCAGCAAAGGTGCAGAAGCACCTGGCCATTAGTACCAATCCTCAAGACCTTGAGCACCATCTCCTGGTCATACCTGGATTCAGTGGCAGCTTAACCTCACGCTTCCTCCATTTCACCATCACTGCAAAGCTTGGAGGACAAACCCTGCATTCAACCGAGGAAGAGAAAGGTGGGAGCCCTTCAAGACATGTGCAACTCTTCAACAAGGTCATACCTTGCTGCCACACACACTCACAAAAAATGCCATGCAGAATATTAGCTTCACCCAGCCTCTCTCCTGGGAGCAACCCTTGCTGTTCACTTCTCTCCGAGTTGTAACAGGAGCAACAAACTCACCGGCACGACCACCTGGGCACGCTCCTGTGTGACCACCTCTGCCTGGTGGCTGTGAGCAGCCAGCACAAGATGCTGCTGGAAAACTCCAATCTGTTAATCTCCTGTGCTCCCATGGCTCTGGGCAGCATGATAAAACGGGCGCTGCTGGGTCTCAGGTTGTGAGATGCAGCGGGGATCACCGCTCAGTACGTAAATATCACAGTGGCAGAGTTCAACCTTTTGGCATGAGGGAAAGGAAGATAAATGCTACCAGTCCCCTCAGAGCCACAGGAACCCTGCATCTATCTAATTGCACTTCATAATGGATTCAGCAAACCATTAATTATCAGATTATATTTTAGGAAACTGCAGATAAAAAAGCTTTATGAAATTTAGCCTTAAAGGGGCCAGTGCACTGCAATGAAGCTGTTGCATTGTGCTGGCACCAGAGAAGCAAATTTTACAGTACTTATGATGTGTGAACACATTTTACAAAGCAATTCCCTGTGTGCCACAGGGAACATCTGTGTGCAGTCACAGCAGCTACTGCACACTCAGACAGAAATACCTTCATTAGTGCCAATCTACTGATACCAGTAACGAGGGGCCCTGGCATGCAGGCACAGCTCCTTCTCCTTTCTCAGATGTGGCAGCTTCAGCATGTTCTCAGTGAACTAGAGGAGGGGTGGGAGATCTCAGGGCTGTTTGCTCCCAAAGAGGATGTGGATGCCTAGACCTGCCTGTGACCCTTCTTTGTAATGGACAGCCGCAGCAAAAACATGGACGGGATCAGACCTGGACTACACAGGGTATTACCTAAACAGTTCTGAAGCCATTTAGCACAACAATTCCCAAGAAGTCTCTGCCTGAGCAGAGAGGCCCAAACATCAGCTCCATGCTGGAGGATTTTTCTAGCTGGCGCAACAGGCAGCACAATGGTACAGGAGAGAGCAACAAAAGAAATAAAGCAGCCCTTACTCACCCTGATGAGCATCAGATACCTGCAAGCATCTCACTGATTCAGCCATAAAAATCTCTACCTTTGGTTTCACATACCCATACCACCCCAACTTTGTCTTGCACTAGTCTCCTCCCCTCCACTCTGCTCACAGCAGTGGAGGAATACACCCAATTCCCATCTTTTCCTCTGCTTCTTTATTTCTCTTAAGCCAGGAGGAATGGGTGGTCCAGCTCACCTGAGCTGGCAATTGCTGATTGCAGGGAGACTTCCCAGGCCCTTGTGAATGTCTACAAACTTCTCTCCTTGGCCATGCTGTGCTTGCTGCATACCATTTATTTTGCAGCATTGCATACCTGGGGGGTTTCTTTCCCAAAGAAACCCCGAATCTCCCTGCTGGAGCAGCACACTGAGGTACAGCTCCCAAGAGAGTCTAGTGGATACCAGGTGTCATGCACGGGCACCCACCGCTCACTCTCACTTGGTTTCTTCACAAATCAGAGTGACTTTGTCATCAAACAAGTCCTCCATAGTCACTGCCATCAGCTCAGAGCCTGTTTGGCTCACTTGGGATTCAGGCAATGTCACAAAGACTTGGGAGCCAGCGAGTTGGGTGTCATCGAAAGAGATGATGTGTTCTGCTGCTCCTTGCTCTGACGTCTGTATCACCTGTGTGGAAGATGACCCGAGAGTCATACACTTACAACACTGCTTTCCCCATGAGCACTTTGCTACCCACATCTTCCCCAGCCCCAGCTCTGGTAATAACATTTAGCTTCACCCCAGAGGTCTGCAATTACAATAGGCGTGAGACTAATGGGAAACACCAAACCACACACACCGATGATGCAAAAGAGAAGACAGGAGAGTAATTTAAAAATTCCTCTCCACAAAACTGCTATAATTTAGCTCCATAAGCAGTCATAGACAATAAACACTCTGTGATTATCCACTGGAGGAATGCCAGCCCAGGGAATCTTGTACACTGAGCTCCCTCATCCAAGAAGTTGTTCTCCACTGATGGCTGAAATATTGAAGAGTCTGGGTTCAAGGCTAGTATCTGGCCTCTAACAAAACAGCTATATTCTCATAGGGTATGTCATCGGAGTTTTAATAGACTAAGTAACCAGACACTTCTGCACACACTCTCAGTCCCTCCCCTCCTCATCTCCTGAAAACCATGACTGAGCTGCTTCCCCTCCAAGTGAGTCTGCCTCACACTAGCACAGAAATCCCAGAGCACTGAGGGCTGGGGAGCTCGCATCCTGGCCCCCTCTAAGAGGGAATCAGGGAGCAGAAGGGGTGACAGGAGCCACAGGGTGGATTTGGGAAGAGTAAGAGAGCTGGAGGGGGAGGATGGATGAACAACTGCAGAGGCTGCGGCACAGAGCAGTCTTTACCTGCACAATCTGGGCCGTGGTGGCTTGGGAGAAGACCACCTTGGGATGCTCAGTGCTGTAGTGTCCCTCCAGCTCACCCTGGGAGGGGAAGAGCTCCCCACAGAGCTCACAGGTGAAGGTGCTCTCCGTCTGCTTGAAGTGCTCACTGGTGACGTGGCTCTGCAGGGCCCCTGGAAAGCGGAAGGATGCCGAGCAGTACAAGCAGCAAAATGGGTGGGAGTCTGTGGGGAGAAGCAGAGCCCTGAGCCTGGGCTGCAATGGCCAGGGCCAGCCCGAGGGCACAGGGAGCTGCAAATAGCCAGGACAAGCAGGGCTGAAACCTGCCAGGGACTGCATGTGCCAATGTCCCTTCTCCTGGCTACACCACTGTCTGTCAAACAGTCTGTGGCTGTTCAGATCTGTTTCAGCTCTAGCTCCCTGCAGCACCGGCATTCAGAAACCAGGTTGGTGTATCTGACTGTAGCTACAGCTGTCCCTTCTCACAGACATCTGTTCTTCCTGTTCCCTTACACCATCCAGCACTGCTCCTTGTTGGAGTTGCCTGCACCTGCCGATTCGGCTACTGCAAACCCATCATCCACCCCAGGGGCTCTCTCCTCTCAGAGTGCTATGCCTAGATGTTCTCCTTCCTTGCTCTCCAAGGTGCTGTTGGCTGTCCCCTCCAACATCTCCCGATCCATCTCCCCTCCTGCCAGCCCATGTACAGTCCTAGGCACCCACCTTTCGTAGCAGCCTGGCCTGCCAGTGCACTCTGCCCACACAGCATTGCTTCAGCTTGCCGACTTACCAGAGGGCCCCTGATGTGGTCTCCCCAAGACCAGGTCCCTCTCTGATCTTTCTGGAGCTAAACTCCCTTTTTCTCCAGTCTCCTACTAGCCCTACCCTCCACAAACCCCAATGCTTGGGATTCAGTTCCTCGTTTCTCTCTGCTGATATCACCTCACCTGCGCTTAGCTTTCTTCTCTGCTCTAACAAGCAAATCCAGATCCCTCCTTAACTACGGTGACTCCAGAAGCTTAACACACATGTTCCAGCCTCACCAAGACTAGTGCTTTTCCAGTTCACCCATATTTTCTGTTTCTTCACACCCTGCTTCCTTACCATGTCCATCTTCACTCTCCCACTTACAGCTTAGACATCACTCACTGAGAGGAGCAGTCATTGCCCACAAGGTAACATCAACAAAAGCAAATGTAACAAACCTGAGTGTCTGCACTTCATGTGGACCTGCAGCAGAGCCAGCGTAGGGAAGAGCTCCTTGCATGTCTCACACTCATGGAACTTCACATCTGCAAACAAGGCCAAGAACAGAGAATCATGTAACCAAGGTCTTCTCCAAGAGATCTTCTAGGCCAAAGCTATGTTGATACTTCAGCAACACCACACATGCATACAGACATGAGGAGCATCTTTGGAGCTAAGGCAGGAAAAGGAGAGGCCAAGAGCAAGTGAGCTGCAAGATACTGAGATGAGACCTGTCAGAAGACACTGCTACAGGATATAAAGAACCTAGTGTGATTTGCAGGTAACGAATGGGCTGTTACCTGTGTGCTCTGCCTTGACATGCTTTCGGTGAGCAGCAGTGCTGGAGAAGGTTTTGTCACAGGAGCTGCACTGCAGGGAAGAGAACTTGGAGGAGCGGTGGTTCTGAGCTGCAAAGACATCAGGGTGGTGGGTCCGGTTGTGATACCATAACCCTGACAACTGCTGCAATGATAGGATCAAATCATGGTTACAATTCAAAGCTGTTCCAGGGGCATCAGGACAGCAAGAAATTGTGGGGAAAGCAACAGGAACAGTAGGATTGTGCTCAGCAGGTACAAAATCTGCTCATCCTCCCACAGGACAAGAGCTAACACCTCACTTCTGTCTCTCTGTTGCCCACAAAGAGCTAAACACTGCTGACTCGCTTGATGCAAGTCCCCTTTTGGCATTGAATTTCTGTTCCCTTGTAGGGATGTGCTCCCACACACTCCCACAGAGGCATGCCATTTGCAACATGAGAATTTTTATTCCTACACTTCTTGGGAGCTAGAAGCTTAGGTGAAAGAGATTTGTAAGGGTCCAGATGGGCAGTAGGTAGCTCTCTGCAGACATGGCCCATCTCTCTCCATAGATCTGCCTTTTCACTATGGACTCTGACTCCTCTGTGCAATTTTCTCCCTCTGCTGACCACAAACTGCTACAATCATTGTGCATGGCCAGATGAGACAATACTGGTGCAGAAGTGGGCGATGCCAACCTCTGTCACGTGTGACCAAACCCTGCTGCACCAGCTCACCTGGTAAGCTTTGTCACAGATCTCACAGCTAAAGGGCTTTCCTCTGATGTGGGTCACCATGTGGCGCTCCAGGAGTGATGGGGCGCTGAAGACTTTAGCGCAGGTGGGGCAGGGGTGGAACTCCCGGGAGTGGGCTTCGTGGACATGCTTGCGGTGCTCCTGCAGGGTAGCAAAGCTCATCCGGCACTTCTTGCAGTCATAGGGATCTTCGATGTCTGCTACCCAGAAATGCAACAAAAACCACAGGGGGAAAAGGAATCAAGGGCAAAAAAAAAAAAAAAAATTAAGAGGGGAATTCACACAGGGAGGAAAGAAATGGTTGTTACTTCCCAGACAAAAACTATCACTGGAGTTTTGGCTCTGCATACAGATATGGTTGCTCCTGCTCACCTACAGCTTCCCGTAGTAGGTTCCCAGCAGCCTGCAGTTTGCTGGAAGCCACCCCTGCCATTTTCTTTGGGATAACCCTACTCATAGCATCAAACCACTAAAGAGTCTTGTTTTACCTGGGAGGGTGCAATCCCACCACAAGCCAGCCTGCAGGCACCAGTAACACCCGCACAAGCCTCCGCTGGCACAGATGGGTCTGCCATAACCCTGCAGAAGCTGTGCCTCACAGGCTGGGCTGCCCAAGACAGGGAGGCAGCTGCCCACACTCACTGTGGAAGGTCCGGAGGTGGATGGAGAGCCCGTTGGCCTGGCGAAAGCCTTTCCCACATTCCCGGCAGACGTATGGCTTGTCCCCCGTGTGGGTCCGGACGTGGCGCGACAGCTCGATGGACTGGGCAAACACGGCGTCGCAGTACTGGCAGGCATACATCTTCCCTGCAGTGACACCCAGGGTGAGAGCCTGCACCTAACAGGACAGGAGCTCTGTCTGGACTATGCCGAATTTCAAAGGGAGAGGGAAGAGACTGTAAAGTGAACAGGCTTTCCTGGGGTAGCCAGAGTGTCTCAGTACAGGGTCAAAAAGGTCCTAGAGGTGCTGGAGAAAACCACGCCTGCACAGGGAGTATTAAATTACTACAGTTCTCAAGTATCTAGAGGTACTACACCTTGATGTGTCTCGTGTTAAAAATTAACTGTCCAACTGTATCACGCTCGTGCAACGGTGGGAAATACACCTGAACGTATTTATTAAAAACACAGTGATGCATCCTCTGTACCCATGAGAGCTGGTGGAGGCATGTCTAAGCCCCAGTAGTACACAGGGCTGAGTGCAGGGGCAGGAGAAGCACTGGTAAGTAAAATGTGAAATTCAGCCACAGGGAGGGACAGGAGAAATCAGGTTAACCAGAGGGAGAAGGACGCATCGCGGGAGTCTAAACGTGAGGGGACAGAAAGGAGCTACTCAGGAGCAAAAGAAGGCAGGTGAAGAGGAAGATCCCCTTAGTGGAGAGCAAACTGCTAAATGAGTAGCTAATCAGAGGACATGGAGAAGGGGATAGTGGAAAGGCAGAGTGGGGAATGGCAGGCAAAACTATGTGTGTGAAGGAGGTCTGGGAGAAGCCTGCTGCCCAGGGCTCTCCCAAAGGATGGGGAAGCAGCCAGGAGGCAGATAAAGGAACAGGGCACAAAGGGGTGGATGGAGCAAGCTAAGCCCATGGCCAGGCTCCCGTGGGGAAGGCTCACCCTCAGCATGTTTCTTTTTGGTGTGGTAGGCGAGGGCCGAGGCCTGCATGAAGGTCATCAGGCAATGCTTGCACATGAAGGGCCGGTCCCCCGTGTGCAGCCGCACGTGGTTCTTCAGCGTGGAGTTGGCTGCGAACTTGGCCCCACACTCCTCGCAGGAGAAGGGCTTCTCATCGAAGTGCTCTGTCAGCTTGTGGTACTGCATCCCTGGGGAAGGCAGGCAGGACACCGAGGTGGCATTGGTGGGACTCAGAGCCAGCCCTGCCTGACCCTGATGAAGAGGCACCACTCCACCCAGTTTGGGAGTCCACCAGCCCACCTGTGACACTGGAGGTCCACCAGTGTTTTCCAGCCTGGAGGTCTACCACGATATCACGAGCTACCACAGGGCAGGCAAAGAGACTCAACTCCTCTTACTCACTCTGCTAAACCAGCCACAGAATTGGAACAGCTTGGTTATTTTTGGAGGCTTTTAAATTTGACAGTAGCCCCAATTTTCTTTGATGAGCCGTGTGGAAAACCAATTAGGGAAGAACTAATCAGAAAGTGGTTGTGCTTAGTGGGGCAGGAGAAATGAGCTGAGCTGCGTTTCTCACACATGGTGCTTGCAGAACTGCAGGGAGGAGGAGGAGTTTTCAGACTATTTTCCAGACTTCTGTCCAAACACCCCTTCTCCCACCCTGCTCCCACCAACCCTACCTGAGGCGTGAGCAAACTCTCGGCCACAGATGTCGCACGCCACAGGGAGCCGCTTCTTCTTCTTCTTGGCCACCCCTGCCACGCCATGGACCTCCAGCTGATGCTTCTCCAGCTCCTTCTTCGTTGACTTGACCTCGCTGCACTCCTTACACTGGATCTGCTTTTCTCTGGCCACCCGACAACGTTTCATGTGCACCTTCAGGCGGCAGTAGAAGTGGAAGTTCTTATCACAGGCTTTGCAGACAAAACTCTTCTTGGAAGCAGCTTTTTCTTGGGGTTCCTTCAGTTCCTTGGCACTGGAACCTCCTGCCTTGTCCTCATCTTTGTCCAGAGCTTCAACTTGGGATTCACTGTTCACCTTCCACTTCCTGATGCCAAGTTTCTCCCCACTTCCCTCAGTCAAGAGACCTAAGGAAAATGCAATTCCTGTTTCAGTGGTGACCAGTAAGACTGGGCACCCGCGCCTCAGTCTCCCATGCTCCTACAGAGTTTTCTCTGCACAGCGGTAACAGACACACATTGGACACACTATCCTATCACAACGGTGACACGTGGCCCTGCCCAAAAGTGGCTGTGGCCATATATGGTACAATGCATGAAAGAGTGGTCCCTGAATTTCTCCACCCACACATATCAGGGGCTGGATGAGTTGGCAAGAGCCAGGGCCAAATTTTTCAAAGAGCTTGCTCCTTAAACAGGAACAACTGTTGCTTCCAAGCATCTGTCGCCTGCTTAGACGCGTGAAGTTACGTCTGTGCTTACATGTTTGAAGATCTGAGCCTAAGGTATGATACTGTCTAAGTCTGCCATTGAGAGTGGATATCCAGCCACTAATTACAAGAAATCTCAGGAACACTTCCCAAATGAAAACTCTCTGAAAGGGAACAGATAATCTTGCTACGATCCTTTTGAGTCTTCTAGTTAAGGCCCTGAGGTATTTTAAATCGCTCATTACATTCATTTCTTACGAAGTCTAATGCTTTTCTGAGTCCCTGTAACACCACCATCCCAAAAAGCACAAGCTGGAAAATTCACCTAGGATCTCAATCTACAGGAAAGACCCACAGGGAATGTATATATGGAAGAAATCAAAATACAAACAGATATATTTGGCTTCTTTGCTATAATGAGAACCATGCAACTGTGTGGCCATGGAAACCAGTGCAGACTTCTCCTTTGTCAATGCACAGGAAATTCAGACTGTGCTTGCAAAACTTGTTTTCTGCCTTCCTCACTAGGGGAAGAGCTCAGCAAAGCGTCCTCCCTGCACAGCACTACTGCCCCAGATTTCCAGCCAACTAGAAACCAGATGACATATTCCAACAGACTTGGAAATCTTAAGATGTCAAGTAGTGACCCACAAGCCTGTGAACACTCTGTTTTCAGGGGAGAAAAAACAGACTGGAAGACTGGTTTCCAGTTTGTCATGCTCTGTCATAATAGCAATACACACCTTTCACCTCTTAAGGTCTCTTCTCACATCCCTACAACCAATACTGTCGGTTTTCCTGACCCCAGTGAAGAAGTATCTTTAAACCTTCCAGAAATGTTGAATGTCAGAAAGAGTCATCTTGCTGGGCAATATCAGTGTGGATGAAGATATAAGGACTAAGGAAGCCAGGATTGGAAATGTCTAGAAGAAGTGCCATGGCATCAGGGGTGTAACCTGAATCAGATGAAATGGAGTTTTGCCACGGAACCCAGTGCACCAAGAGCTGGGACATGGTCCTCCTGCCTGTGAAAATGTTGATCAGGATTACAAACCTTTAGTCTAAATAACAGCACAAGACTGTAATGATATAAAGGCAGGAGGAACTCTCAACTTCAGTCCACCTTCATGGAGAAATGCATAAAGGGATTCCAGGAACATCTCTCCACCTTCAGGGGGATGCTAGTACTCCCAGAGAACAGTTTTGAAAGAAAGCCGAAGCAGATCACATAAAATCAATGGCTAGGTACCTACACCCTGTAGTCCCATTTCAGTGTAATATATACAACCTGGATGGCAGCAGGAAGCTTGCCTGATGGTGGAATACACCCTCAAAAAGCTCTCAAAGTCTGGCTACCATGAGAGGGGAGGATGGGAGACATACTAAACTGCAGGATGCAAAGCTGATGTGACACATCAGGTGTCAGGTTGTTGAACTTGGAGGTTTCTTTAATGGCATCAAGTACCATAGGCTGGCTGCTGTCTATACAGAAGAGGGGACATGTGGCACTACATTGCCAGGGCAGCAATTCCTTTCCACTTGGCAGCCAAGATGCCTCCCAGAACATTAATCAACTTCTGTCCTTGCAGATGCAGGAAGCCTGGAGGTGAACCTGAGTGCTCTTAAGAGAAATAAGACCAGACCAAAGAAGTGATTGCACATCAAGTTTGAGGGGCAGTAACTTAGCATGTCTTGGTCATGCCCCTGGCTGAGCCTCCTGGTAGCAGACTGAGCCTGATGATAAACATACACCAGAAGGTTCCCAGGCAGGAATTCCTAACTGTGGGGTCCCACTGGAACTCTGAACTTTGTGTCACTTTCCACACTCTGGTCACAAAAACATTCAGCACTGGAGGAAAAACCCTGCTGTTAATTATGGCATATTTCACACCAAGTTCTCTTTCTAAGTGGTCTGCTGAGTCTGTAATCCTAGCGGCTGCTCTACCCTCCCTGCAGAACTCCAGAAGCAGAAGACCTCTTGGTGTGTGACCATTCCGTCTCTCGCTTCTTCAGTTTAGGCTGAAAGGAAATTCCACCTACCCCCTTTTCACCTTGAAGGTTATTCTGACATTTGCTGACACACACAGTGCCATCTAATGCAGAACTTTTACAGGGGAGAATAGCATTTTGCCTGTAGACCCTCCAATTAAACAATTCCAGGGGCTGAATCAGGCCTAAGTGAGCATCTGTCTTTTTTAAACACAGGAGTATGCAGAGGAAAAGCCTTTTTGCTGGAGTTCTTGACACATTGCTGAGATCTTAAAGTGAGGCATATCTTGACAAACATGATCTCCCAAGAAGTGACAGTACAAAGTCCTGGAAAGCAGCTGGTTAGAGAGGAGGTTATGGAGTCAGCTGGAAAAGCCAAACCTCTTCCTTGCAAGCACCAGCTGCCAACAGTGCAAGTGCTCTGACTACAGAAGGGACCCAAGGAGAAGCCAACAGATTATCATACCTCCACCAAAGAAACGAACCCATCACTCTGATGGGGACAAATGCAGACAGTTTCCACCACAGGAATGTCTAGTGCTTTCCAAGTGCTTCAGCTCATCTAAATTAAGCATCAGAATTTTTTTTTTTTTTTTTGTGTGTGTTAGAGATGTAAAACCCGATGCTTTCAAGTGGAAATGCAAACTGTACGCATCTCCATGCAGCACATATGTTCTTCAGAAATGTTAGATCTCCTCTATTTCAAGTGGAAGCTCACACCCCTCAAACATGAGGCCTGCAGTTATCATTCATATCTCATGCCAAGAGCCACATGGCTATTGATCCATAAAGCCACCTGCAACATTTAGGGCTCGTAAGCAGTGATATCAGAGCTGAGGAGACTGGCCTGGAAATTAAGATATGGAAGTTTGGTGTAAAGATCTGTAGAATGCCAAAAAGGGGCTGGTAACTGGCAATCCTCCTCAGGATACTTCATACAGAATTTGGCCAAGTAAATACCATATTTCCAGGGCTTTTGCTTTTGATGTTGCTTCTTGCTTGATTTCGTCTCAACCTTGGCTTGAAGCCCTGCAAAGACACTTAGTAACAGCAGTCTGCTCTCTTTGATACTGGTGCCAGAAAAACAGGGAACTGCCAGAGCAATCTAGCTGCCTCCCCAAGTCCCTCACTGGTAAGCACTGCAAGGTGTCCAGGCGCTAAGGTGGGCTGCACATTCACAGGCACATGCAATTGCTGTTGGCTTACCTCCTCTAGAGTCACCAGGGCATCAGCCCTGATACATCCCATGGTCAGATAGGGTCAAGGGGAATGAGACAAGTGACTGCAGCATCAGGAGACAGAGAAGGAATGGCAGATAAGAAGGAACTGCCTTTTTCTCTGGAAATCCTCATCAGAGCCATGACAAGGTGAAAAAGCCTACTGGATTGGTGGCAGCTCTTGGTGGCAGCTGGAGTGACTTCTTTAGGGCACAGGAAACAACAAACACCTACAAGCAAGCTTTGGTTCCAGTAATTGCAGCAGTGACATCCAGCATAAAACCCTAGCAGATCTCACTTCTCACTGCTTGTTCAACTTTGGGTGAGAAGATAAGTTTTCTTGCTGAACATGTCAGAGCCATGACAAGGTGAAAAAGCCTACTGGATTGGTGGCAGCTCTTGGTGGAGTTAGAAGAGAGGACCTAGATCTGAACTGGGCATGAAAACTGCATCTACAGTGTAGGACATCTTTTAGGGAGACCACTAAGGCCCCTGAGTCAAGGAAGAGGAGCAGAGCACGTGCTCTCACCCTGAGCCCTACAGCTAGAGCAGTAATCCAGATCCTTGGTTTCTTCTACATGTGCACTGCTCCCAGTCACCCAGTCCCATCTACCACCCCAACAACACTTCCCTAGTACTCAAGAATGCAGGCAAGCTAACAAGCCTAGGGTTGGAAGAGTAACCTAGGTGCAGATGACTCCCTGCCCCTTCCCAGCACACAGGGAATATTGGTTTCTCCTGTCACTGTCAAACACAAAACAATGGCAAGTGTCAAATCCACAAGGCTTGTGTTCATTCATAAAGACCGATCATGGCCCTGACTCAAATTTTCAGACAAAGCAATTAAACCTTCTACCCCTAAAAAAAGAGAAGAGACATTAATAACAGGCTGCTTACTCTAACCACCAAGCAATCTACTAGTATTTCCACACTCCACTGTAAGCTAAGCAGCTCTGGCACCACAAGTAAATAGGGATGGATCGAGCTGAACCAGCACCTGTGCTCGGATAAAAATCACACTGTGTACATCCCAGTGGACTCAGCAGCCCAAAGAATCTGGATGTGCTGGAAGACACGATGCCATAGAAATGTATGTGAGCAAACAGAACAAGCAAGTTGCATTTGCATCCTTTTCAAGAGAATGTAAACCTGCAGTTAGCTGCCTGGCCCTCTGTTATCTTTTTCATTAAAGCACCAAGTTCTGTTAAGTATTCTCTCTTCAAATGACAGATGCAGAGATACAATTCGGCTCAGTTGGAAAGCATCCCACAGCTCTGGGAAGGGTCTCACACAGTTATTGCTATGCATTTGTTTCCAGAGTTCACCAAATTGCTATCTGCATATGTTTTGTTCATACCTTTGCCAAACCAGTACAGTATGTAGCATTCCCCTACTGCTGTGGGACCCTCCCAGGGGATCATTTGCCATGTAAAGTGTATATATAGCAAGACCAAATTAAGGCAGTATAAGAAAATTAACTCAGAAAATAGTATGGGACTACAAACTGCACCGTCACGGTCATCTTTGCACAAGACAAGTGAACTATGATGTGACCTTTCTGCAATCAGCCTCTGAATTATCCACACATACACATATGAAGTCAAGGGACTGTAATACAAGTACAAATTCATACAGATCCAACAGTACAGGAAGAACCAAAGAAACCCCACAGTTTAAGGATAATAATTCTGAAAAATAAGCTGATACATACACAAATTACAGAACTAAGTCACTTAAATGCCTCCAGAGCAAGGGCCAAGGTGGAGAAATGCAAACGCAGTTAAGGAATACCAGTACAGGGTCAGCTACAGTCTCCACAATGCTCATAACATACAAAACTTTGATATGGTGTATTTTACCAGCAGGAGAAATGTGCACTGCACTGCTTGGATCCAGAGGTCACCCCTGTGAATCCTCTTGCAAGTACAACCCCAACATCTGGCCAGAAGTAGTTCTTGAAATGACCTCAGGCCACCAGAACACTGAGGTCCACTACCAGACTGCTCAAGCCTCCCATAACTATGTGTAAAAGATCAGAGAAGGATGAAAGCCTGTGCTTATCTTACCCACATGCCCCAGCTCCTGCATCACTGGCTGCAGGTCTGGGAAGGACTCATGGACATTGCACAGCAGCTCACAGATCTTGATGGCTGGGACAGACTTCTCCTGGGCTGTGCTCAGAGCTGCTTTCAGGGAGGCCTCTGAACTTACCTTCTGAGCAGAAATACTCAGTAGCTGGCGAAGTAAGAAGAAGAAAATATTACATGACAGAGATCTTGGGCTGTGAAAGGTCGGGATGGTATGGGAGTAAGGGCACATCTTTGTTTCATCTCTACCGCTAGGAACCTGCTTTGAGAAACCAAAAAATAAATCCCTTTCCATACAGGTCTTTGTCCCTCCACTGATGTATGTGCATGAGCTGAGAGAACTTCAGGATTAAAAAAAGTTACAACAAATTAAAATCTCAGAATTTCTGGTTTTGTATTAGCTCACTTAAAACCACCTTTCCATGGAGAGAGTGGTTCCTCAATGCCACACAGCATTACAAGCTTACCCAACTCATAGACCTGTGTTTCATACACAACTCTAAGCTCTTCTTTCCCTTCCAAATCCAAACCTGCTTCAGCCAGTCACTGCAAGGAAAACCAAGGCAAGGATCTATGTATGCCCAGATGTACCTCACCCTTCCAGATCTCCAGCAGCAGCTAACCAAAGCAGGAATGAGCAACTGAGACTGCTTACTAATACGGCCCATCTTCCTCATCAAAGGGAAAACAAGCAAGGCAGTCTGGGATGCTACACAATCATGGCATCTTCAGTGCATTTTCTAGGAGCATTTCATTTTCATGTGTCCTGGAACAGCCAATGCAAATGGAAACCCACTCCGCGGCAGCTCTGCTTTCTCTAGGACTTCAGCAGCCTTGCAGAGCTGAAACAGTTTTGCTGTGTTTAAATACCCACATTTTCACTGAGAATATCACTGGCAATTTCTTTTACCTAAAAACTCCTGCATTTATATAAAACACTCAACACACTCTCACTTCAGCAGAGGGGTACCTCCAACTTTGGATGGCTTCCCCAACTAAAGTAATATCCCTTGATTTCAGTGCACACTAGAGCCTGTCCACCCTTTGAGCCCTGAACCATGCCAGCTCCAAGAGCAGCCCCTCATACCTCTTTTACTGCTTCTGTGAGTCCTGCCTCCCCTGGAGCCAAGCCTTCCAGGTCTGCTCTCTGCTGGATAGCCTCTGAGATCAGCTTGCTGTGCCGCAGGATGATCTCAATGGCTGTGCTCTCACTGGTGGCCACTGAAGATGAAAATAAAAAGTAAAGGTATTTAAAAACACGAAGCCCAAGGAGGACCTGAAGGCCTTAGCTTTGCTTAGCTCTGTCTAGCCCATTCCTGAAGCAGAGCTGTTAACAGCTGGAGTGACTTGTTTAGGGCACAGGAAACAACAAACACCTACAAGCAAGCTTTGGTTCCAGTAATTGCAGCAGTGACATCCAGCATAAAACCCTAGCAGATCTCACTTCTCACTGCTTGTTCAACTTTGGGTGAGAAGATAAGTTTTCTTGCTGAAAGGGACACTGACAATTTCAAAAGGTAGGCGTGGTTCTCCAAAGACTCAGGATTTCTTCTGTCCCCCAATGATAGCCATCCCATTCTGTCTTTTGCAGAAACAGGTGTTTCTAGGAAAAATTTGCCTCATCTGGGGACAGCCATGTAACAAGCAGCCTGATGTCCCATGCACCACAAGTGCTGTTGTCTCCAGGCTGAGCACGGAAGGGATGCAGGAGAGGAGTTCAGATGGAGGCAGCTACACCACAGGCATCTGACTGGAGGCAGGCAAACCCCAGCTATGTGCCCACAGGGCCAGCACACACAGCCGGGCTCTGCACAACCTTCCTCTCCTGCCCCACAAGACCACCAGCCCAAGCGCTCCGCACATATGCATGAGATTTTGACAATTTTGGGCAAAAAGCAGAGTTTAGGTCTTGAAGTAGAAAAATTCAAAGCTGGAGGCTGAGACTCTGAGGAGGACAGGATGGTGGCTGCACACAGACCTCCAATTAAACCTGTGTTTTCAGTCTGATGGGCCTCCAGATGGTTATTAGTGCAGGACAGTGGCCAGCTCTCAAAAGGTTTGCTCATTACAAAACCTGAAGGCATGGAGTCACAAGCAAAGCAGACGTGTTTGTAGACTGAAGTGCTTTTCCAGCTGATCAACAGTTTCACCGAGGACATGGGTGTTGAGACCCACTGGAAGAAAAGAGGTTCCCAGCCTGGGAGAGGGTGAGGAGTGAGAAAGCAGCTCCTGCCAACAGTGGGAAAAGCTCGGGGAGAGTGTGGGAGGACACCAAGGCCATTACCTGCTTGGAAGAAAAAGTCTGCACCGGGTTGTTTCCGGATCTCCTCCATGAGCAGGTTCAGTGGTGCAGGTTCCCGCACAGCCAGCAGCAGCTGCCAAACAGCAGAAACCGACAAAGACTGCTCCTCCAGCGCTGCCGACACAAGGGAGGCGAAACCGCCGGCCTCACACTTTACAACCTGCTCCATCACCTTGGAAAGACCCACAGCAAGGCAGTAATAAGGGATCCCATCCATCTGCCCTGCATCATGCTTAGATATGACCATGGCTCACCCTAGACCCAGTTTTCTCTTGTTCCTACCCTGTTGAAGACCTGGCTCACAGTACAACTCAAGTGGTGACCTGGAAGCCCAAACCTTCACTCAAAGACATCAGCCACTTCCTCATCTCGCTCCAAAGCTGAGCATCTCTCCTCAGTGCCCAAATCAGCCACTCTTACTTGCCAACCTTCAGCTTCATATATGTTATCTGCTTCACTCCCACTATGGGATACTAAGGAATCATTAAACCAAGTCCTGCTGGAGGACTGCCCCACACCAAGCCATGACAGGTAGTAAATTAAGTCCTCGGGACCTCATAGGTATCCCAGATGAGGAATACAGCTCAGTATCTGCTTGCACACTTGCAGGAGACCACTTACCTCTCTCTCAGCAGGAGCCAGGCTCTGTGCAGCAGAGATGCCCTGCAGCAGCATCTGGTTGTCTGTGAGGAGCTCCACCAAGTTTTCTCGGTACTGTCTCAACAGTTTGGCTCCATAATCCTCTGGGCTCCATTTGGCTGAATGCAAGTGAATGAAAATAAGAAGAGTTCAGCTTGCAGCACCTTCCAAAAGTGTTTCAGAGGTAGGGAAGACCAAAAAAACCCAAAGCAGCCAGTCTCCCTGGGTCACTAATGCTCAGGGTCTTACATTCAGTACACCTGAATTCACCTTCAAGCAGAGGATGAACAAGACAAATCAAAACTTCGACAACTCAAAGATAACACAGAATGTTCTCTGCTCGTATATGTCTATAGAAATAGATCTCTGGCACCCAAATGCCTTTCAAGTCTCAGTCCTGGTCTGAGCCCAGAAGAAGAAGAAAGTCTCAGTTTTCAGCTACGTTCAGCAGGTAAACATGTGGCTTTGTCTGTGAAGACAACATCAGCCTCTTCTGATGTCCTGGAATCAGAGAGACCCTGTTACTGACTCTTAATTGTAGTTTCATTGAAAGAGGTAAGTGAGAGTCTGTAAGTGAGAGTCTTTGATCCACTCCACAGAGAAGGAGCTCTGCGACATGCTCCATCTTCAGCAATGTATGACTATCAAACATACTAGCAGTTTACAAACACCCAGATGGTCCAAGGTAATCAAGAACTTAACAGGCTGAGTTGTCCTTGGTGAAAGTGTTAGGGGAACACAAGCCAGACTTGCAATTGCAAAGCAGCAGTAACACCCTCTTCTCTCTCTAACACCAAAAAAATGCAACTTTAACCTTATTCCTTCCAGCTCCCACATCTAATTCCAAGCTGGGTCTGCTGAGGTTTGCCTTGATGAATCTGAGAAATTATGACTTCAGAGTAACACCACAATCCTTTAAAGAACACCCTAGTATCAGGACACAATGAACTAATTCAGTAAAGAGGAAGAGTATTTATTCAGGATAACAAAGAGACTTGGGCAAAGTATACTGTCTATCAAAAGTAATATATGATTGCACTTGTCACCAGATCAGTTGATAAATAAAACTGAAAATTGCCAAATAGATGAATCTGAAAATGAGCTACTAAATTGGAAAAGATGCATAGTTATACTTTCGTAGGAGAAACCAAAACAAAAAGCTGCAATTCATCCAAGACATCTGTGTGTGGTTTTTGTTTGTGTGCCTAGGTCTTTTAATCATTTTGGTTCAGTACCAAACAGAATCTATATTCATTATTTGCACAGAACTACTTGTGAGACAGGCAGCTAAATACACACAGCTTGGTGAAAAGCAAATACAGTTTCTGGGACCCAGAATACATACAGTGCCAGGTAGGAAGAGAAAGCTCTCCAGGATGGTGAAGATGCAATGGCAGGCTGTGGGAATAATCAACAGAAGATTTTGAGCTAATATAAAAAAACTCCCTGGACAAAGACTTCTTGGATACATGAGTCTACTCCCTGGCAAAGCTAAGGGAACCTCAGTAAGCACTTGAGCTCCACAGGGTTTAGGTATGACTTGGATGTGCCCCACATGGATCAGAGGATGATTTACAAATAAAAATATTTTCCTCCTTCTCCCATCAGAATGTTTCTGATTTTGTTACACAAATTTTAGTTGTTATGAATGCACTCTCCAAGCCATACCAAGGTGAGCTCCATAACAGAGCGTGCCCTGCACCACTGTACAAGACATCCTCCTTTCTGTCAGCAGGATAGCACAGGACATCAAAGGCTGCTGTCAGTGGCTCAAGTAATTCGCTCCCTCTTCACTTCCACGATAAGAAATATCTGTGCTTCTGTTTGTTCAATCTGCAATTTGAGGAGATTCAGCTCTCTGTAATTAAGGAATGCTCCTCCTTGGAATGGGTATTACCACTAGATAATTAACCATGTTGGGAGTCTGGTGTTTCAAGAAAGCAATCGTGCTTAACAAATGACAAAGCAAACTGCCTGTCGGGAATGTTTGCTACCCAGGAAATTATCAGCATTATGAGCACAGTTTTGCTTTCTATTAAACACTCATTTACATTTCACTGCATGTTAATTTAGTTTTTAATTTTTATGTGACTTCAGAGCTGGTGAAATTTGCCTCTCTATCAGAACTGCTCTGGGATGTGCCTAAACCCACCCAAATTTGGAAGGTTGTGCCACCAGTCAAAAGATGAGGACTCATGAGACCCTGAACCACCATAGGCAGGCAACAAACAATAAAACCCCACCAAAACAAAAGGGAGGAGGGGACTAGCCATCCAAGATAATGATGTCTAATGGGCACACTAAGTGTGGGACTCCCATCAGCGCAGTCTGCTCCACACAAGAGACCATGACTTAAGGGACCATGTTGTGCAGAAATGCTACCTGGATCAAGGACAGGAGCACAGCCCAACTAAATTTTCCCCAATCTCCCTCAATCACAAGGAATTCACAAAGACTGCAGCCAAGTAAGACATTGTCTGTATTTAATGTCAAGACATCTACGACTTTGGGGAAGTTTTAGGTATTTGCTTTCAAAGACAGCAAGTACCATAAGTTAAAGTCACCAATGGACCAGAGTTTGGTAAAGATGTCGTCACCTATGAAGCATTTATTATGTGAAAATTGTTCTATTTATTATGGAGACACATGCTGCTGCTGCTTTTAAGTGACTCAAATCCAAAAAGTAACTTGACACTGGAGGGAACAGTTCTCCTGTTTTCCACAGATGATATCCTGTTTTCTACCCTGTCAGTGTCAAACTCAAGGAAGGAACCCAACAGGCTTCTGACCAACACTACTCCTTTCAATGCAAAGCAGGGGCCTTCTTGCTGGCATAGTGCTCCTACCTCATTGCTCCAAGACCATTTTTGTTTGAATAAAATGGCCATTTCATTCCCTTACGTGAGAGTAAGATTATAAAAGCATGCTGCAGTGCAGACAAGCATCCAAACTTCCCTGCAATTCTCTGATCTGAGCCCCAGCCCCCAGGCTCTGAAGTTTAGTATACCCATACCTTTGGCATCTGAGACGTTTGCTGTTGTCACCAAGTTTTCTAGCAGAAGGTGGAGACCAGGGAATGATGCTTTCACAGCCCCCAGAAGCTTGACCAAACTTTCCGCTTTCAGGGTTTTCTCTTCATCCACCTTCCTGAGCAGGTTGTCCATGGCTTCCCTCTGAGATCTGTTTTCACAGCAATCCAAAACTACCTGCAACAAAGAAAGAGCCAAGAACCTGTTTGTGAGAGCTGCCTGCAAACTCTTGGATTTGAACAGAGATGAGAGAAATAGAAACAGTATCACAGTACACAGTACTGCAATAAATCCATATCCATTGCTTCCACTAATTTGATTAACTAGGAGGTGTTATGGTATGCTAGTGATGTGTCACTTTGAAAACCACCCTGATAGGTTCTTCCACCAAGTCTACCTCTTGGAAGTGGCTGACGAGCAAAAAACATTTAATCAAAGTAAACAAATATAGACTTACAGACAAGGTTCAAAACAATATTTCATTAAATGCTTTTAGAAAATGCTTTTTAAATTGGCAATCTCTTTTCCCTTGTCTCCCCAATTTTTCTGCTTGTCATCAAAAGACAGAGATGGACAGAAAAAATAAAAGGCTCTTATTATTTAAATAGGCATCCTATTAATGGAGTGATTATTTCTATGACAAGGCCATATGAAACATCTCTTATGTGAGATGCAATCCCTGTAGCTTGGAAAAGCTCTAGTATGCCAGTATAATACCTACAAGGCTCCTACAAGGGAAAGCCAGCTGACAAATACAGGTTAACCTCCCCTCTGCAAACACTGTGTTCCTAAGCTTTTGAAATATTGGGCTGGCAGAAACTCTGCAGGTCACCAGCCCAGCTTCCTGCTGTCATTAGCACTACACTACATGGTCCCATGAATAAAATTATTAAGATCTGTCCTAAAACTAGTTACATTTTTGCTCCCTTTCCCCTGGTTGGAAAGCTCTTCCACAGTCTCATTCCCCTGTTGATTCTTCTAATTTTCAACTTAAATTTATTCATGGCCAGTGTATACCCATTTGTTCATGTGCCAACATTATCTTTCAGCTTAAAAAGCCTTCTAAACTCTCTGAGGTGTTTACCCTACCCTTCCTCTCCAATTTCTTTGTAAAAGCACGATCACATTCCCTCTCAGTCTTCATTTCACTTGTCTAAATAAGGCAGCTCCTCTCGCAAAACAGCTTTTCCACTCTCATAATCATATGACTGCAGATCTGTCTCTGCTTCAATATGAATTCATCTTTTTTGAACAAGACTGGAGCTGCACACAGAAATTTCAGATGAGGCCTTAATTCTTAGTTCTTGTTACTGCATCTAAATGCACGCCCTTCACTTTATACTACCACGCCATTCAATTCTCATTGCTTAGCTCTGCAGCTATGTAATTCTTCTCACTCTTGGAGATCCTTCTCTGTGTGGACAAAAGATCCCAGTTTTGCTGAGCATGTTCGGATATTTTTGTGTCAATAACATTAGCATTAATATTAAGTAAGTGCCAAGAATCCCACTGGTAACATTGCTTCAAGCTGTCAGTCCCGCTTTCAGCACAATCTGTGGTTATCTCCCAATAAGATACATCCTTTTTTAATATTACCACTTCCTCTAGTTTAACAACTTCCTCACATGAAATTCAAACTTTTGCTTAAGTTTAGATCAAGGCAGAAAAACCCATTTTTATTTCATCAAATAGGGATTCCAGGTCAGGCAGACACAATTTACTTGAACACCCTTTCTGCATTTTATCCCATTTTTTTGTTTACATGCAGTGCTTCAGCTACATGTACCCTTCCAGCCTGCCCCAACACATATTCCTGTGTAAGAACAGAGCTGGCTGCCTAGGTCACTGCTTCCCTCCCCCACATCTGTCCTGGTCATCAATTGTAGGGACCACTCTCAACTGAGAAAATACAGTAATAAACCTTGCTGTTGCTCTCATAGCCATGTGTGTCAGCACCTCCAGCCTGCTTGGGGGATGCCCTTTGAGTTGTGGTTTCACTTCAGCTGCAGGAAATGTCTGTTTCTGTATCTCTCCTGGATTTGTCCCTAGGCTCAGTCATGAGTTTGACAGTGATTTCTTCTCATTATTCTTTTTATTTACTTCATCAAACATTTGTTGCTTGCCTCAATGTAGCCTGTGATGCCCAGCAGCGTGACGTACTGCAGGACTCTCTTCATACCTCTGAAGTACATTTCTTTGCCCATCGGACATTTCAGCCATTCCTTGCAGGTCCTAATATTCTTCCTCAAGTTATTGAGACTCAGGTCTGTAACCTATCATACAAATTCTTCTCTCCCATTGAGGATCCAAACTTCAGACAGTTTTCCCACCTTTAACATAAAAGAAACTAATTCAACAGCTCCTCCTGTGCTCTTACAAGCAGCTGATCTCATTAATTAGTTTCTCTCATTTCTAAAGATCTGTCCTTTTATAGCCAAAACTCTGTTGGCGAACCTGTTGACATATCCTCCCCTCTAATTCACACTGATCTGACTGGATCACTCAGTCTGAACTCCTCTTTCAAGAGGACACAAAAAGGGGTACAAGAGCACCATCCTTTTGGGGAGCTCATGCTACCACTGCTCCCAGGCAAGTGTCAACAGGCACAGAAGTGATGTCCCTGGCAGCAGGAGATGCAGCGCTGACATTTTGAGACTCATTTTGACAACACTGGGTGAGACAGTAAGAAAACATCGCCCCCTTTCTGCTTTCAGCAGGGCTTCTCCATCCTCTAGCACATCCAGTTAAGATTGCTCCTACAACAGCCAGTAACTTTGCTTGTGTTGTCACTGATACCTGTCCTAGCTCTGAAGCAGTTTGGTTTGAGCATCAAGCTATGTAGGCACTGAGTCAAAGGGGAGGGAAAGCACATAGCTCACAATACCCAAGTCCCCTCTAAAAGAGAGCCTAGACAGAAGGAGAGGAGAGATGTTTCTACCAGCTACTCTGATGCTCTGGGTTCAGGGCAATACTGTGCACTGGTTGCTCTGAACTCTGCAAAGACCTAAGCCATGGGACACCTTGCATGAGGGGTTACCTGCTCTTCCTTTGTATCCAAGTTTATTTCGTTTAAGTAATAATCTGCATCCAACCCACCCCCAAATCCTCCACCCTACCTCCCCACATTACAGAAACACTAATAAAACTACAAAGTTAAGTGCTCAAAAAAATAGAAATGGTAGGTAAAAAGTTCCCCAGAAAAACAGGGATTTACAAAGAGGCTTCACAACACATCATGTACTGGTTTTCCAGCAAAGAAAATCAGACTTGGTCCATGCACAGCTTGGACCAGGCACAAAAAGAACCCAGTTGCCTAGAAAAAAGGCTGTTACATGTAAAACTTGCACTTGCCTTGCTAAATAAATGTGTTGCTAATGAGGCAGTGACTGTGAGAAGAAAAAGGAAAACCTTGTCTTTATGAGCCCTTGGAGAACTAGATCCTATCTCTGCCATCCAAGAGCTCTAGTGCAATGCTGGATGAAGCAGGTGAAACGAAACCTTCAGAGGTGGCTACTAATTCCATGTTCATTTTCCCAGTATTGCACCTGAGACACCACAGATCTCAACTGCACATATGTCACGGGCCCACTGTTTTAAACTACTGAAATAACTAAGCACTTTTCCACTTGTCTGAGGGGCAGTGAGTGGAGGAAATAAGCAAATAAAGCAAGGCTGAAAAAAAGGGAAACCGCCCCCCCCCCCCCAAGTCAGCCTACACTTGGCAATTTCTGCCTTATTTTCGTGTGCCGCAGCAGGGAAAAAACTCTGCACCCAGCCTCACTGGAGTGCTCCCCAAGTACATTTTTTATTTGCTGGGAACCTGTAGGCTAAAACAAGAACATGAAGGGATGCCATAGAAAGGAGAAGGATTTTGTATTCGGAGCAGCGTTTGGAGGCTCCGCAGCAAATGGATCATACAGTGACTGAAGAGGATAAAAAGAAATACTGAATAACACTACCCCTCTCATCAAATGAGGCAGGAGTCCCATAATATATGATGATGCAATTAAAGACTATATCCTGTGCCCAAGGAGCAGAATTATGATAGCAGAATGAGTTTGGTTTGGGTTTTGTTTTGCTTTGTTTTTTCCAACGGGAAGGGAGAAAAAAAAATGGCTGCATTTTCACTATCTAATTTCATGAAGACAAAAAGAAGAGTGCAGTGAAAAGGTGCAGCCCTTAAAAGAAAGGCCGCGCTGCAACATGAGTAGGCATATATGAAAAATCCTAATCTCCCCACTGCTGATGCAGCTTTCACAGCTAGGAGCTCAGCTCCAGGCACCCTGCACAGGTCTCTGCTGACAGCTGCAAAATCCTCAGTAGATTCTGAGTCCTCTGCTGTATTCATGCCTTGCTCTCTCCTCTCACTTCCCCATTCTAGGCTCAGCCATGCTATTTTCAGAGGGGAAAATTCATTAGCTGCCAGTCACACCCTAGACCACAAGGACAAGGCGGATACCTCTGATGGCATCACCTTCTTTGGCCCTCCTGCACTGAGCTGAAGCCATACTCAGGGATGCTCTACACTGGACACTTGGCCAGGGACCTTGTGCATGTGAACAAGACGTTCATTGGGGGACTTATGAGATGAGCAGAGGTTCTCAGCCCACCTGTCATGGCTCTGGTCAGGCTCACTCAGACAGAAAGCAGACATCATTCATGCCACTGAGCACAACAGTGCTTTCCACTCACTCTAATCCTGCGTCAGGGGAACTAACTGATGTGACAAACTAGGACAGGAGGTCTGCAAGCTGTATACTGAACATAGCATGCGAGGGCACCCTGCGAGTTTCAGCTGCACAGGCAAGGTATAGCCAGCACCCCCAACACAAAGGGAAGCAGGTTAAACAAAATATTTTGTCCTTTACGGCTTCTGCAAATTAGCACACATAATGCAATTGCTTACAGGTAACCAACAGTCCTCCCCACCAACTGCTGCATTCAACACATAAAAAATACAAAAGAAAAAAAAAAAAAGTCAGTGGATGTGCTACACCTGCAGGCAACTGTGTGATAAGAGTTAAAGAAAGGACTTCAAGCTAGGAGAGTCAGCTGAAAGGTAAGCTGATGATCACATACACAGGGACATAACCAGCAAGCAGGCAGCACAGAGGTATTAGTGGTTCTGCTAACCAAACTCCACTACAGAGCCTTCTCTGGGCTCATAAAAAAGCATTTTCAGGGTCTACAAGAAGCACCAGGCCCCTCCTCTGCCCCAGGCTCTGCTTGCAGGAGCAGTCTGACACTGTGCCAGGCAGTGTTTATCCTGGTCTTGAGGCTGCCTCCACAGCTCAGATTCCACTATTCCCACAATCCAGCACAGAAGGACCTGAGAACACAAATGTGCAGTCCGTGCTGTGCAAAAGGGAGGTGAAATTGCCGGGCGAGGCTAGCACATCACTTGGCAAACCATGTGGTACCACGTTGCCTTGCAGACACACACCCATCCCCTCTCACCCACAGTTTTCCTTATTTCAGATTTTTTTTACCCGCTTCTCCGAGGCAGTCAGGAATCCCTCTTCTGCTGCCTCCAGGAACTCTACAATGGGGCTCAGCTGTGTCACGCTCTGGATCAGCTCCTCCCTGCATCCCAGCAAGCGAGCAGTCAGCGTCTCTCCCTCATCTGTGCTCTCTAGGGAGAAAAGGATTCAGAAACACAAGAGAAGAAACAAGTCAGTCTGAAGGAACTAACAGGCTCCTGAAGTGAGTAAGATTATGTGAAAGATCTAAGTGAATAGCAAAGCTCATCCCAAGCACAAGCAGCAGAGAAAAAACACTTTACTATTCTCTTTAAACTCTATGAAAGGAAAACGTCTCATTTATCTAACAGAGCACAAAGCCATAAAGCAAGCTGGAGGTTAACATCAGGTTTGCAAGGCCATTGCTTTGTGTCAGACTCAAGTAAGAAAGGAGCTTTCAATGCTGAGGCTCAGCTGTGCTCTGACTCATGCTGGCCGTGCAGCCATCGATCCAGCCCTCCAGGCAGCGATGGGAAGAGCCCTGCGTTGCCCTCACCCCACTGCTGCGGGACGGAAGCGCTCCAGGATCTTGGCCAGCACATGATAAACCTCCTGCATCCTAGGAAAGATACCTGGTTTCTGGAGACCTGCTTTGTCTGTAAGGTTGCCCACTCGCTTTGCCAGAGGCTGCACCCACTTCTGTACCTGTTTGCTTCAGGGTTTCTCCACTGCCCTCTTCCCTCTCCAGCAAAGCCGCTCTCACTTTAGGATTCGCATCTTGAAACAGCTTCAGTAAAGACACGAGGGCCTGAGGATCCAGGGTCTGAGCATCCTCCACTTTGCTCAGCAGTTTCTTGAACACCGACTGTTCCCCTGCCTCTATCAGACAGGCAACCAGAGACTACAACAGAACAGGCAAACACAGTCAAGGTTTTAATAACAGAGTCAACTGCCCTACACAAACAGATACAAAAAGCAGAATCCTGGGATTTTTGTTCAGGAGACAAAAAATTAACAAAACAAAAAACAACCACATAGATACACACCATTGAACTGAAGCTCCAGTCTGCAGCCACAAGCCTTGGCAAGGAGGGGAGCAAGCCCTGCCTGCCAGCCCTTCTCTATACAGTGAGTCCCACAAACTGGAGCTGGTTCCAGCATCAAACATCTCCTCATTTCCCCCGCTAAGAGCCAAATGCCAGTAAGTCTAAGAGTCCTAAAAACAGATGGTTTAAACACCGTTACTTCAGAAGCCCGAGGCTAGGACAGGGGATACTAGATTTCACTGCAGAACCGGGAGAGATCACTTGCACAGAAAGCAGAGAGCATTTTAAGTGGGACTTTCAGGAACCTCCATCCTCAAGTCACAATGGAGTTGAGTCTCTTAGAAAAAGCTTTGGAGAGGAGGCACGCAAACTCTGAGTGTTGTGGGCTCTCAGCACGCCTGGCAATCACACCCAGAGCTCCAAAACCCACTCCAGTGACCCAAAACAGCAACCAGAGGCAAACATGCCTGCGCAGTTATGGAAATAAAAGGAAAAAAAATAAGCTGTAACTCTTGCTCCCATTTCCCCGGAGCCCTTTAACGCTGTAAATATTGCCCCTAAAGACACACACTTCCCAGCTCTCCAGGAGAGATGCCAGCCTTTCAGAGCAGACGTCCTTTATTAGAGACTCCAGGGATGCTATAAAAGTACCTTTGAAGTGGAGAGCTTAGCCCAGCTCCAGAGAGAGCGGCCATTTTCTGCTGTCATTGTCATTTTTATTTCTATGATAAAAAGACTGAATGCAACTGCTTGGGGCTGCACCAGGGGGATGGTGGACTTGCTTCTCCTAGCAGGTGTAAATGCTCATATATTAGGGCAGCGTGACAGTGCAGTGACCTATTGCAAAGAGTATTCACAGAGGGGAAGCTGCAGGAGCCCCAGCTCTTACCCGCTAACGGCATTTTTCCTGCTGAACAGAGAGACGTGGACATGAAGGACTCTGTTATAAAGGAATAAAGGAGATGCTGCAGACGTGCTGAAGAACAAGCTTAAAGGTATTTTATTAATGCAAACATTAATTTGTAATGAGACTCGATAACCAGATCATATTTGTACTCAAGGTTTGCATGCCTGGCCCCTTTCAGATCAAAATGATCCTGTAAAACACAAAATACCTTGACTCTCACCATCCTAAAAGTACTCACCACCCTGCCAAATACATGTTTTTACTAATATGGATGAAAAGTAACTTGCACTGTAGCAATATTTTTTTCATTTTAATTTTTATTTTTTAAAATTAAAATCAGCACAGCATTGCTACCCAGAGCTTCAGATAACATCCCTTCCTCAGTGCATGGATTTGGTTAATGGAAATGAGTTTTCAGAAACTGAAAGGCTCTGCTATTTATTGTCTCTTTCTGGAAGACCTTTCCTCAGACACGTTGCTCAGTGGGAACAGCAACCTTTCAACACTGTTTTGAAAGAGCACACAGCACATTTTAGACTTACATTGAAGAACTAACTATTCCCAAAGATCCTGGAAAAAATTGAGAAATACTCGTATCAGCTGGAACCCCAGCTTCCACTTAGTCATCAGGTGCCCATGAATTACAGCCTGATCCATTATGTTTTCACTGCCTGGGACACTTGCAAAACCCTTCAAGGACAAATTGGCACAAATTAGCATACATCCAGCTTCCAGACTGGAGCAAGAGACAGGCTCTCTAAGCAGGGAAACCGAGTTACCAAGACCTGGATTAAACTTGAGCTGTGCCACCAAATAGGTTCAATGTCCTCTGAGAAGTCTGGTCCCAGTTGGGGGGTGTCAGTTCTGGTGGCCACAGCACTCCTCAGTTCCCCAGTGGTCACAAAGCATGAAACAGCCCTCCCAGTTCATCTCAAACCTCCCTGTTTCCAAGGCAGCTCCAAGGCAAGCTCTGAACAGGAATCCCTGCAGGAAATGCCACAGGAGGCAGGTCTCCTATCTCTCCATGTCATCTCCAGATTTTCCATTTTTCCAGACTTCTTTCCTAATACATTCAATTCCCACACTGCTGTCTCCCTTTGGCCCCCCACAGGATTCCTTGCTCTGTCCATTGCTCCTTATTATCTTCTGCTCCTTCCAACATCCCCTGTCACTTTGGATAGGAAGATGCACAATGCTGCTCACGCAGAGATACAACCTGCTTTTGAAATGGGCAAGTGCTGCGTTAGCACTGTGTCCTCCCAGCCAGACACTAATCTCTCTCACACCAATCCACAACACTCCTAGGAAGACAGTGCCTCTGGGACCTCCACCTTCCTCTCCAACATGATCGACCATGAGATTAAGTTTTTCTGGGCGGGGACAGGGATGCTCAAAGAACAGCTGGTGGCTGGCCCTGCACGAAGTAACCCTGAGCCTGGGCTGGGCTGAACAAAACTGGTGTGCCATGTTGGGGCACATCCTGGGACCCAGAGAGGACCTCAACCAGATGGGCAAGTAATGCACATTCTACCAGGGAGTGCAATGGCCCAAAATCAAGACTGTGCAGGGTACCCTGAGGACTTTACCCAGGGATGTGTGGAGAGAAGGAGGGCAGACCAGTGCAGATATTAGCCCAGCTGGCCACTAGCCTCTTCCCTACAGGTGGGCAAGCAGGGTTATAGATTTTCATGTCCTATCCATGCTCCTGCTCCCACTGTGAGAGCACATCTCAGCAAAAAGCCGCTTTAGTGACTATTACTGAGTGATCTCCCTCAAGCATCAGCTTTAGAATGAATGCAAGCACCCAAAGGGTGGTGGGGAAGGATCTACAAGAGACAAGCCGGAGAGTCACAGGGTTTCAGGTGACAGAAGCTAGCTCCCTTCAGACCTCCCTCACAAGCCAAGGCACATTCAGTTAGAACACTCACTCCTGAATGTGGTAACTCCTGTGCCAGCACCTCAATGCCACCTCCATTCCCCAAGGAGAGCTGCACTGGCCATTCAGCAAGCTGCAAGTTCCCTGCGGCTGGACACTGCAGGGAAACTTCCAGAGACATAATCATTAGTCCCCTGTGAATGCAAGATGCTTTGGGTTTTTCTACTGATTCATTTTTGACGTGCGTAAGATGAAGCAAATATAAAAAAAGCCATTGAAAACCTGCACGGACAGAGCCACTGCCCATAGGGTCAGCACAGGGACTGGCTCTACACCTCTGGACCACAGAGAAATTTGTAGGCCATGACCGCATCATGAAGTCTATCAGCTATCACTGTGCATACAATAATTAGAGAAAACTACGTCCCCATTTCTGGTTCTGATATCTGAAGTGTTTGGTTTTTTTTTTTTTCATGCCTGCATTTGTATGTGACTGAGAGAGACTCCAGTACCAGAAAGGCTCTGTGGAGAATGCTAACCCCTGCTTGCTCTCCACACAACAGGAACAAAAGTTTAGCCCAAACTTCCACACAAGTACACCAGAACAGAGGGCAAAAAAGTTCTCCATCTCTGCCACCATGAAATAAAACCCTCACAACCTATCATTCCTAATTAGGATGCAGAAGATAATGGGAAACTTCTTTATTCTGCTGCATCCAGAAATCCCTGCAGCTGCAAACGAAGGACAACAATAATTGGACAGGCCCATAGGCAATGGAAATGATCCACAAGCACAGTGACATTTATTTTACATGGGAGAATCTACGCACCCCCACTTCATCTGAACCCACTAGTAGAAGGAACAAATGAGCTGTGCAATAACTTGAATTGAGTTTCTCTAAGAGAGCACAGGAAGATAAGACTTGACACCAGCAAAGCTCTTCTATGCTTCCCCAAATTACTGCAATTTCAGTCTTGTTCTCATTTCCAACCAGGTTTCATCCAAGCCAGAAACAAATTAGATAGGAACAGTTTATGTGACATACACAGAGAGACTCTAAAACAAAAACAAGAATCACATCTCCCTAAACAGAAAAGCAACCCATCCACATTTTTCAGCCCAGGGAGCAGAACGTAACATCAGACTTAGAGAGAAGCAATAATTCTCACAAAAGCAAGCCCTGCACCACAAACTTCCTTGGGGAAAAACCCCACGGCCTAACAAATTTCCACTGGAGGTGGCAGGAAATAAGGCAGCAACACCAGAGGGAAGCACACAGGAGCACTGAGGGGAACAAGGCACCCATGCAGGGACAAACTCATGAGCAAAGGAATAGAAATACAGAGGCTATATCCAAAGCAAAATCCCACTGAAACCAGAGGAGCCTGAGCACCAGGACAGCCTCAGTGTCAACAGGCAGGCTTGCAAAACCCCCACAAACACCTGCAAGCCCCCACACTGCCTGGGCTTTGCTGTCCAGAACACACCACTGCTTGCCTATAGAGATAAGCCACTCACAAAAGGCTCCTTGAGTAGGAGGAGGACATGCATGAGGAATGGAAGTTCTCCCCTGTAGCAGAGCAAGCACGCTCACCAAGAATGCTCAGTGTGAAGAAACGGCATCTCATTGGCTTCCAGACCAACACTTACGCGTGCCCAAAGCCCCTAAGAGACTTCAAGCAAATGACTAGCAAAATAATACAAAAAAAGGGAGGAAAAAAATAAAATCCATTGACATCTACCAGTGGCACAATCTCCGCTTTAATTACACATCCCAAGCTGGGTTCTTTGGAGCTGAACTTGCACTTTAAGCATGACTTTAAAAACACACCACTGCACTTCCTCTGAAGAAAACACTGGGCCCTTGTGGGAAAAAGCTAATCCGTCTGCTGGAAACAGAGTCCAGGCTTGGAGCCGGTGCCCACAGGTTCTGTTTGTCTCGGAGGGGAGCACAGAGAGAGATCTGGCTGAGCCTTTGCTTACAACATGCTGCAGTCTGTACCCCCCACTGATCTGGGGCTGACACTTTTCATGCTTGTCACAGCTGAGAAGTGATTTTTCAGGAAGGCTCAAAGAAAATCCATTTCTCATTTATTCAGCATTTATTTATAGCTGCAGAAAAATTGTCCAGCTGCCATTTTGCGGTCAGACACCCGAACTGTCTCTGAGCTCCACTGCCTCTCATTTGCCTTCTGCTGCAACAGCTCATGGGGGAGCATAAAGGGCTGGGCATGGGTCTGTGAACCTCACCTGCTGGGTCTTGGACGTGCTGAAGAAACGTGAGACAACAGTGACTGCAAAGCAATAGAAAATGGGGCTGTGATGCAGAGCAGAAGTAAGGCAGCATGCCTGCCTGAGCACTCTGCAGGTGAGGTTCTGCCCTGTGACCGTGCAGGCAGCACAAGCAGGCAAGGGAAGGCATGCCAGCACAGGTGATGCCTGCTGGCACGGGTGCATGGAGCTGCCAAATCCTTTCTGGCAGCACCCATCCACATTGCACAGCACCCTCCGCAGCTCTGCTCCAATTGCCAAGGTGCAGAATAGGTAAAACCTTAGACCTGACAGATCTTTCTGATCAGGGTGATGAACAAACGTACAAAAACCTAATCCTTCTCATCGCACACAGACATGCTGAGAGCAATGCACTCACACGTGCTTGTCAGCCCAGCCACTCTTGCTGCTACAAACACAAATTAGAGCACACATCTCCCTCCTAATGCCCCATAGATTCAACACCATCAGGAGGGTCAGCAGCTAAAAGAACACAAGTTTCCCTCTGTGAACGTTTAAAGGCTCATCAGAAAAGAAACCTGCACTCCCCAACTCGAGGGAATACTCCTCCCTGCTGTCATGCAGGGTTTTTTTCCTAATAAACATGTTGCCTTGGGTTTTTTAAAAGCAGAACGACACCACAGCCAAAATGTCCCACGTCCCATGATGATACTGGTACTGGAGGGACCAAGTGACTTGAATCCAGACAGCTTCCCAGCCAGCAAGCACATGGGAACCTACGGAGCATCATAATCCTCCAACCCAGGGAATAGCACTTCTCGGCTTCAAAAGGCCAGCTAAATGTGGAACCACTGAAGAGCCAGCAATAGAACTGTTGCATTCTATTTTTTTCCACACACAGAAAAGGTACACAGGGCAGTTCATGCAACCTGGTATGAAAAACACTCTATCAGAAACATCTGGGGTGAGGAGAACAAGTTCAGTCCCATCCGCACTCCGCAGTGGCCACAGCTTTTTTTGCAGAGCCTGCGATCACGCAGCCACATGCAACCAGCATGAGTGCCCACACGGACCCACTTCAATCATTTCCAAGCTCCGTGTCCTCCCACACCGCTGCTACACCAATACGGACATAACTTGCTGTTTCTGTGGTGGCCTTGAGACAGTATCACAGCTGGTTCAGAGCCCAGAGTATCCTTCAGCACTAACCACGCACCAGACTCAGCTATCCCCTCCAACAGTAACTAGAGCATCGTTCACCAGCGACAGCTGCTTTTAAAGCGGCACAACACCAGGGGAAGCGCCACAGAGCAGCACCCACTGCCCTCCCGTAACACTTCCCCACGAGCAGCCTGCCGTACGCAGAGCGGAGCAGATGCTCCCCAGCAAGCCCTCACTGAGGGCTCAGGAAGTCTATTTTGGGATCTCATATGTCAGTCGTTTACAAGTCGATACAGTTCCCGAAGCAAATGCCATAAACAGGAGAAGAGAAATCAGCGCTGGAGCTCTCCTACAACGCAACAAAGATGTCTTCAGGGTAGAACATACACTTTACCTACATGCATGAGCAGCTTGCTCTTACAGATGCTTCTCTCCAGGGCGTTGTTCAGGTGAGCACATGTTGCCCTTCAAACAACCAGGCACCAGAGCCCCAGTTGCCCATGAAACAATTTCCTAAACAGGGCACAAACTATTCTAGCCCTCAGCAGGGTGAAAAAAAAACTTGTATCATCTACCCCAGTAAACACACCTACCTCCTTTTGAAAGGCATCAATTTCTCTGCATTCTTCTAGTCTTTTCAGCACAGCCTGGGCATCAGAAAGGGCCTCAGAGAAAACACTTTCATATCGAAGAAAGAAATGCAGTTTACAGCTTTTACTCTCTGCTGCTGTGTGAGAGAAACAAGATGAGTTATTTGCTAATTGAAGGGATTCACAGAAAGCATGATGTGATTGAAAGGCATCAGTCTGTAGCCAGCACATTGGCTATAATAGGGAAGCTGTGACTCACAAATCCCTTCTAAAGATATCATGCAGCCTGGAGGGAAAACCAACAGTTTATTTAACACCAGTTATAAATGGAACATTTATTTTAAACCCAGTACAGACTCTGCTTTCCTCCCATGCTGAAGGATAATGTTTAAAGGATAAGGTAGAATTAGCAAGCAACTCTGTCCACTTACTGTTATAAAGAATGCCTTATCAACCTCATGTCCTCCACTAATGCAGATCCCACTGTATGTCAGACACAATCACATGCATGGGTAAGAAAAATTTTGCTCAATATGGCTCTGGTAAAGCGGTGAGCATGAAGCAACTGCAAAGGCCAAAGCAGAATATTGCACTGTGCCAAAGAAAGGAAGCCCCTGCAGAAAAAGGATACATGTTGGTGCTGCTCCCAACCCATGCCAAACTATAAAGAACAAACACAGATCCTCCATAACAGGAAAACATGAGTCAATGGGTTTGCAAGTAAGAGGTAATGCTGTGCCCAGACATGTGAAGTCTCACCTAAATCCCCCACTCCTTTCTCCTCTGGAGGCTCAGCAAGCTTCTCTTCCACACAACCACCCTGCTCAGCATGGGAAGGCTGATCAGGACTAGAGCCTGAATCCTCCTGGAGGGATGTAGAGTCACTCGACATCATGTCTTGGTGAACCCAGGTGTGATTCATGGTAAGTTCCTGGCCAGGAGGATAAACATCTGCTTCCATTTCTGCTTCTACAGGGCCAGGAAAAGGGGAAACTCTCCGAGGAAGGATAATATCTGTTTCCCCTTCATCAGGTTTTTCAGACTGGGGCAGGTTATTAGCTTCAGCATGGTTTCCAGATGAGTCTGCTGCCTGGCTGGAGACTTCACTCACTACCTGGCCCTGAGTAGAACAGCTGATGAGGTCCCTGAGGAGGTTTTTGCAACTAACAGCCACATCAAACATCTGCAGACTATCTGCCACGGAGATAGCTTTGGTGAAATTGTGTTTCCCCAGTGGGAGTTTGCCACTGTATATCATCTCCAGCAAGAGTGCAAACTCCTCAGGGGTCACCACAGAAGCATCGATGGAGATGGTGTCTGTGCTGTCCAACAAGGATTTAAAAAGCAGGCTGGCAGCAGCCAAAACCACCTTGTGTGCTCTAAAATGAACATTCCCAATGAAGATGGTGCAGTCGCAGAACTGCTGCTCTTTGCAGAGAGCATACAGCTGCTGCAGCAGCTGCTTGCTGTAACTGGGAAGCTCCATGGCACCAGGGTCTACTGGCCTCCTCTGGACATGGTCTCCACACCGCTTTCAGAAAGCCCAGCTAGTGAAAAAAAATAAAGGATCCAGTTAGCACTTTGCTCAGATAGTAGCCAGACAGAAAGAAAGAGTAAGCAAAAATTACTTTTCAGTTTACGCCTCCTAGTAGTTCACTATGCTGCAGTTCAATGGTTACAGCAAGAGACCCCATTCTGAACTCACACTCCCCAAATTCAGCAGCTTACCCAACTGGAGCTGAAGAGTCTAAATACTGTTCAAATATAAATACATCAGAAAGAGTTTGGGAATGAGTACTGAGTCCCAGGAGTTATAAAAAGGGAGAGGAGACTCTCTGATGTGCCTCCTACCATACAGCTCAAGGAGGTGCAAGTGCTCTTCAGATCAGGCATTGCAATGCCAGGCTTTCCCTGCATCCAGAAGCTGGAGCTGATGCTGACTTCAGAAGCTGATTTCTGGAAGGGTAGGTGGGGAAGCAGTGCAGGAAGACCTGTTCAGATCACTTACCAAACACATAAGAGAATCTCAGCTGTTGGTTTTGACCTGAAAAGCACTGAGTGGTTTGGGACCAGTTCATTTTCTCCCCACACCGCTGCTAAGATCAGCAGGGGCACACGAGCATTAGAGATAAAGGTCTGCTTGCAGCCCAGGGCCTTCAGCACCTCCTTTCTCAACACAGCACAGTCCTAACTCACTGATTTACAAGTCTTTTACCCCAAGGTGTAATTTCTTGCAGAAGTCCACAGCCCTAATGCCAGCTACCAGAGCCTCCCTTTTACTTTTCCCCCCCACCTGGCTGCAGGAGGGAGAATAGATAGGACATCTGCCAACAGAATTTTTATCAGTGGGATATCTGGAGTTTTTATCTAAGCTAGACAAGATAAAGATGTTCCTGCCTTGTCTACACACTAGGACGCCTAACACTGGTGCTGGCAATGATGCTGAAACAAAACAGCATGAGCACTAGAGGAAGAGCACCTGGATGGACACAATTTACATGACCTTCATCTGCTTAACATCTTTGCACTCAGCTTCCTACTCACTGGTAGAGAACAGGAGTAATATTGCCTATCACCAGGGCACAAGCTTTAATAAGCCAATGCACATACACCAAGGTGAAGCACTGCCTTGCACGAAAGCAGGCTCGGAGGGACTCCCAGCTTACACCAAACTGCTAGTTGCAAGCAGATGCTGGGTGCAGGTTGAGCTAGCATCTTACATCCACAAGGTGCCAACCCCTCTGGAGTTCAGCCTGTGTGGAAAGTGGGACCTCCTGCCCATAGGCAGGCAGGACTCCAGCTGTCCTGCATGGCACTGCCTGCAGTGGCTGCAGGAAGACAGGAGGGAGCCAAGAGACATCACTTCATACCAAAGCTACAGACAGCTGAGCAACTGGTTGGTGGACACCACCGATGCATGATAGCTCTCCTGCTCAGCCAAGAGCTCCCCCATGCTTTAAAGACGAAGTACTATGTAACCTGCTTTTCAGTCATCAGGATAAGATCACAGATGGTTTTGACACCACCTCAAAGCAGAGGTGTCATGCTCTCCATCTGAATACCTTTGAAGCAAGTGCACATGGTAGGTGGGTCCTTTTCTGGAAGGTAGGGAAAGCTAAGTAGTTGCTGATACTCCACCCTCCTGCTTCCCAGGAACCAGAGCTTCTCCAGGCACATCGCTACCAAAGGCTGTCTGGTCTGCACCTCATCTCTGCTATTTCATAAGTACCAGATCCACCCCCTCACCCATGCACAGGGCCAGCCACCTGCACTTCCAGCCCATTGAACATGTGGGTTCTGCTATCCTCCCACGCCATTGTAAATCACAAGTAACCAATCTGCCATCAGTGGAGTTGCTGCTGGTCGTGGGAGAAGAGACCTGTTTCTTTTGCCAGGTTCAACGTAATGGCAGCTTTAGTCCACCCACTCCTTCCTTGGAGCTGAAGGAATTCCAATATCTAAGATGAAACTGGATCTGCTGGTTAAATAATAATAGCTGCGGCTCTTCCTTCAAAAGGGCAGGAAGTAAGCATTGATGTACTGAAAGAGATGTCTGCTCACTTTGCCATGACTAGTCTTCTGCATAAAACCTATCGCTTCCACAGTGGCAAGCTGGAAGAAGCAGCAGCACCGTCTGCTCCCTGTATTCCTGGCAAGAATGTAGGAGACATATTTGCTCATGACAGCTCAAAACAGTAAAGCTCTAAGCAGCCTAGCAGCATGTCTCCTTTATTACAGCAACTCAGAGTACTGGAAAATGTGTCCTGACCAGTTAGGTCAGACATATTTGTTTCAATACATTTTACTTCTTTAATTATAGGAACCCAAAGATCCAGTCCTGCCAAAGAGAACAGACATTTTTTAATGAGGGGTGATGGCCAAGACCATGCTCAAGGCAACTGCCCCCTACTTAAAACCCTGAAGTGTGTTCTACTCAAAGCTTACAGCCAGAAAGGATCACCACCAGCAATCTGATTTCTTATCCCTCCCTGCCTCTAGATTTCCAGACCCAGTAACTTGGGTTTGGCCAAAGCTTCTCTTCCAGCAAGGTTTCCAGTCACCAGAACAACTGCTTTTTAGGGGGACGACCCCCCACCACTATAGTTATTCTAACTGCTAAATTATAGGCCCCGAATTTGTCTGGCTTCATCTTCTAGACGGCTTTTGGGAGATTTGGCTGGGGAACTGGGCTGAACTGGGAATCTCTCTGAGAGCAAGTAACTAATACTTCAGCAGCAATGAGTGCTTACAGAGCACAAGCGATCTGCCTCTGCCAGCACTACTGGTAAGAAAAAGTCAGTTACTTTTTCAGCCTAAAGCTACTTCTCTGCAACCTCTTTGGAGTGTCCTGGGTTGAGTGAGTGGTGGAGTTTTTTGGTGGCAGGGGAGGGGGCTATCGGGGCGGCCCCCTGTGAGAAGCTTCTCGAAGCTCCCCCAGCTCCACGTCAGCTCCACTTCTGTTTGGGAAATTGAGCCAATCGGCTGCGCCTCTGCGATAACGTATTTAAGAAGGGACGTGGTGACGGGCAGTGGGACTTGTGAGGAGGAGTTGCTGCAGCTGCATGAACACCAAGGTCAGTGGAGGAACGGAGGAAGAAAGGAGGGGGGAGGTGTGCCGGAGCAGAGACCCCCCTGTATCCTGTGGGGAGACGGCAGGGCGGCCCCCCCCGCCACCCATGGAAGATCTACGGTGGAGCAGACATTGATTTATGGCCTGTTGCTCCTGCTCAGTTGATCAAGGTTCTGTGCCCGAAGAAGGCTGGGGTCTCATGGGAAAAGGCAGCCCCACTGCTGTAATTCAAGCCTGGGAGGATTGCAGCATGCGGGGGAGTCCCACGCCGGAGCAGCTTGGGAAGGGCTGCAGCCGTGGGAGGGAATCCAGTCGGAGAAGGTTAGTGACCCATGACGGAGCAGTGTGGGGAACGCTGCGGCCCGTGGGAGGGACTCATGTCGGAGAAAGTTTGTGGAGGACTGTCTCCTGTGAGAGGGGGACCACGATGGAGCAGGAGGAACAAGTTTCGGACACTCCCCTCACCGAAGATAAGGGAAGTGGCAGCGCTGCCTGCACCCCCCATTCCCTGCCCCTGCGCCCCTGGGGGAGGAGGTAGAGATATCGGGAGCAGAGCTGAGCCCGGGAAGAAGGGAGGGGTGGGGGGAAGGTGTTCTCAAGATGTGGCAATGCTTCTCACTGACCTACTCTGTTATGTGTTGTTAGTGTCTGTAATAAATGTATGTTCTTTTTTTCTTCCCCTAACGAGTCTGCCTTTTGCTCGTGATCATAAAAGGGGGATTTTTCCCCATCCCAGTCCTATCTTGAACCCCAAGCCTGGCTCTCTGTCCCTTCTCATTGCCGGAGGGGAAGGGAGAGAGAGCTGCTGCATTGTGGTTGGCTGCCAATCAGGCCTAAACCGCAACAGGAGCCAGGCTTACCAGGGTTTTTTATTAATTTCACACTTGAGGTAAGTGGGCTGCTTCTGGGGTCTCTGACACCTGAGCGACAAGAGCACTGCCCTATTCCAAAATATTGTCTCACTTGAGTCGGAAGACTCTGACTCTCCTCTCTGCAGAGGAGAGAGATATTTGCTCAGCTTTGCTACCCTCCAGACAGGTTTTGCAAAGTGAACAGATTAATCTTTTGAGGAACCTCAAAGGACATCTTAAGCTTCATCCTGCTAACTTTCCAGGGAGAACACCAAGGTAGTTTAGGAGTTTTAATTCCACTGACTTCCAGTGAGACTGCAAAGTCAATCAATTTGAGTCGCATTTTCAAAAGTGCCTAATATTCCTAAGGCTTTACTCGACCACGTTGATAAATGTCCTCCTGTTCATCCTTAAGCAGCAGTTATCATCTGGTAGTGCTCTCAAGACACCCAATTCAGAGAGAAGCCCCTTCTTTTGAACCTCCCAAGTACAGGAGGTCCAGAACAGGTCTGCACAAAACATAACCCCCCAGCATCCAGTTCTAGCTCTTTTTGATTTTCTCCCTGGTATTTCTGTCCTCATACACCTCCACAGTTTGAGCGGGTCATGTATTTTTATTTAAGCTACATTAGAACAGGAAAGGATATGTTGACAGCAACAACACTTCTTCACAGAGAAGGAAGAAACAGGAACACCTAATTCTACCTACATAACTGAAAAGGAGTTTCCAAATTAAATTACTTCTCTTCATTACTCAAATAATTACTTCAATACAGAATCAAAAGATCCAGAAGCCATGGACATCACTAGGTTCATCAAAAGATAACTGAAATTTAGGAAAGAGCACTTTAACAATTAGAGACTGCAGAGATAGGTGCTACAAAGATGCACAGATGATACAATCCCTCCTTTGCAGTTACGAGGCTGCTGCAGTACCTCACATCATCAGAAAGTCCATCACAGGGCACAGAAAGAATTTTAATGCCACCATGGCCTTCACAAAAGGATTCTGTATAGCTCTCACTGCCATAATTAAGGGCTTTTACAAGGTGCTGGTCAACACACCTGCTGGAATTAATAACACCAAAAGGTACTTTCTGCATTGATTAGTAGCATCTCAGTGGCCAGCTTGAATATGGGTTCCATGCCTGAAATTCCTCCTTGGGATGCACATGGAGCAGGCTTTTTTTAGCTTAAAAAAAAAAAATTCTAAAAAACCCCCAACAACTATTGCTGCACTGCCAAGAAATTAAGCAACACCGTCGCAGTGGTTTTTAAAAGCACAAACCCACAGCCTTCTGCTCCCTCTGGTGACAGCACAGCGTAGTGCAATGGAATGCACAGACGGATATTAAAGCTTCCTAAAAGCACCGTGCATACCCGGTGCAAAAGAAGAAAGCAATTTCTATGCAAGCTCTAAAAAGCTAAATCAAAGCAAGCAGAAAGAACTGGATTGGACAGAACGAGATAAGCAAAATGGAAGAATCCAATTTCTCTGTCTTAAGTAAATGCCACTTCTGTTAGAGCTGACCAGACAGCCTCACATGAGCAGCCTAGCAACTCTCCTGTTCCCAGCACTCTTAGCTTTCTCCTCAAGGGAGCTACAATCTAAAGTGGCCATTGAAGTAAGCGCAGGTCCCAGCCCAGGAAGGCTCCCTGCTGCTGTGAGCAGAGCTCACCCCATCACTGCTCATTTTGCACTTACTCAGAGGCTCATTTCACAAGACTCATGTAAATCAGTAAATGCAGCTGGACAGAAAGCTGAGATTTTCTCTCTCATGTTCCTTGGACCTGTAATCCCTTGGGTACAACAGCAGCCTCCAAGTGATGGGCAACTTTCTGTTGTTAGCTCCGAGGAGTTAAGGACAGTGACAGCCTTAAATCAGAATCTAAACACTTTTTGTGTGTGTTTACTAGTTTCCTGTTTTCTTGTTACTAAAATGATGAGCATACAAAGAAAATCATGTACTGCAATTCAATTTTCCTACCTCTCCCACCAAAAGTAATTCAATCTTTGAAGTGTTGAAAGAGGCTGAGGGGTCATTACCTTTCTCCAGGGTGCTGCAAAGGGCCAGAGCAGGCAGCTCTCCCTGAAGATAATGTAAAATCCAGTACAAGGAGTCAGGGCATACCAATTTGTTTTTCAATCTATTTTATTTCAGTTCATAGCATCAGTGCAGACAGATAACAGAGGAAAATATGCAATACTTTGACTAAATGTAGGATTCCACAGTCTCCAAAGGCAGCAGACTATACCGCTCAAAAGACATGCAACACTTTGACTATCTCTCTCCACTGATGCTCTGAATGGAAATATAATGGATCGAAAAACTAATAGGTATGCTCCAACTCTTAACAACAAGATTTCCATTGTTCTTCAAAGCGAGGGCTGCTGTCTATCCCTCCTGGAATAGGGCTGCCCCAAAAAGAGAATGAAATCACACAGTGGAAAACCAGCACAAACCCAAAGCAACAGCCAACGTTTGCTCCAGTCACTGCTCATCCATGTCTGACTTTGCCCAAGAACAGTGAAAGTGCTATTTTACAGGTTCCCATAATATCCTCAAAAAACAAAAGTTGGACACTAGAACTCCTTTTTGTCAGGTAGGTTTACATCAGAGAAGATTGAGTGCTGCAAATTATTAGTGGCTTAAAAAAAAAAACAAGCCCAAAGAAACAAACCCAAACAACAACAACAAAAAAAAAAAAAAAAAACCCACCCCACTACTTTGACCAGCTTTTGCAATCCATTTTGCTGTCAGCAAAAGTGCAGAAGACATTTGTTCGTACACCCAAGACCAGACAAGGCACAATGTACCCGTAAGGTGCCTTGATCCAAAGGATTCTTGAAGAACATGGGGAAAAAAAAAAAAAAAAAGCTTTAAAATTACACTTCTCAAGAATGGTCAACCCAAAACAGGGACTGATTCCCTCAGACTTGTTAGTAAAGTACATAGAATTACCCTGAATCTATCGAGACTGAAAGCCAGGAGGCACCTAGACTTCCACCACTGTCACCTCTTGCTTCAGGCCAGCAGAGAAGCACCACCATAGCTCTGAAACTCCAAAAGGACCTACAATAACTCTTCAAATGTGAGTGCAGCTGCTTTAAAACAGAGAAGGATGCAGCAATGTAAAAGCTTACCATTTACCCCAGGAAGCCAACTCACTTCCTCCATCTCCTGGAAGACTTCTATAACTGCTGAGCTGCAGTCTGGGCAACAATGGGCACATTTTTCAGCACCTTCTTTAAGCGGTATGTTGTGGCAGGTAATTCAAAATATACTGGAAGGAGAGATGAAACAAGAGCAAATGAGCAGGGCACAGAGGCTGGGGTGGCCAGCTGAGAGAGAACCTCCATTCTGGTCCATACTCCAACAGGCTGTTCCTGTATCACCCAGTCCTTGTACCAGGGTGTGAAACCCAAATTCCTCCTCAAACACAGGACACTTAGTACATCTTAACCAAAAACCTGCAGAATCATTCTGCCTTATGTCATATCTGGGCCAATAAACCAGTTGTGCCAGCCTTCCTTCCCACCATAGGAGCAGAAATTATCCCTGAGACTCACCTACAAGCCTGTCCCTCTCTGGAGGAGGTGGGTTTTACTGACCAGGACCCATCACAGCACATTTCTGTAACACATCTAACCCAACCTGGGAACAGGCTGCTACAGAGAGGGGCAGCTCTGCTCCTCCCTTCTCCCTGCTCCTCTGCAGCAGCTTTATCAAGCTGGTGATTACAAGAAACTGGATCAGACCGCTGATTTCTCTGCTTAATGCAAACCTGTTAATTTGTACCTTGATGGGTCAGTCTTCTAACTGATCATCTCAATGAAGAGAGATGAATAGTGGTCCAAAGCAAATGAGAGGAATCTATAACAAAAGGCACGGAAGAGCAAGGTAACTCCCTTCCTTGTGTATCTAACATACTTTCTAGGAGGTTCACAGCTTCTGCCCAAGCCAGGGACACTGCTCGAAGAGCCTCTAAAAGGCACCTAATGAAAAATATCTCTGAGGGGTTAGCAGTGCCCAGCTGACAGGCTCTAGCTCACCAGTAGAGCCAAAATTCTGGTGGAAGCATCTTTGCTTTTAAGGGTAGGTTACAAAAGGAAAGACCCCTGTCCTATTTTCCACAGCAGGGATGTAATCAACCAGCTCCCTTCAGCAGCAGGGCCACGTGTAGTGTTTTAAAGGAGAGCGACAGCAGTCCTTCCATTTTTTGGCCACCCGTGGAGCATCTTATCAAACACACCTTGCTTTAACACAGCACTCCCGTGGGGGATCCACGGCCCGGCCAGACGGTAGGCAAGGGCAGCCCGCGGACTCCCTTCAGCCTCCCTGCCCAGCTGCAAGGGCTCTGCGTCCCCCTCCCCGGGCCGAGGCCCCGGCGCGGCGGGGGAGGCAGGAGATGGGGGGGCTGCCAGCTGAGACCCTCCGAGACACCCATACCGGGGGGGGGGGGTGGGGTGGGCCCGGCCGCCCCCGGGCCCGGCCCGGCCGGCGCCACCGTCGCCATGTTTACCTTTATTGGGAGCGGCGCGGCGGACACGAGGCGCGGCGGCAGCGGCCGCCACCGCGGGAACAATAAAGCTTCAACAACGACAACACCCCCCCCCGCGGCACTGGGCTGCGCGCCGCCATGTTGAAGCGGCAGCGGGCCGGGTCCCGCGGCACGTGATGGAGGGGCGGCCGGGCATGCGCAGTTGTGCTTGTCGCGGGGCCCGTCCCCCCCACCCCCCGGCGGGCCGCGCTGAGGGAGCGGAGGGCCCCGCCGGGCCTCCCCCCTGCCCCGCCGCTCCCTGCGCCCCCAGAGCCCCCCCGGTTAATCAGAAATCCTCCTCCTGGGGTGCAGCCGCCGCCCGTTTCCGGAGGAGTGCGGCTGCGGCGGTGGCGGGCAGTTGGCGAGCAGCCCAGCGGTGGTGGTGCAAGGGGCCCGCCGGGCTGAGGCGGGGGGGTGGTCCCAGGCAGGAGCGAAGTCTGCTTCTGGATCTGAGCTGGGCAAGGGGGAGGAGAGGTCTGGGCCCTGCTGGGCCTTCCAGAGACACCGTTATGGGCGTACTTTGGAGGCACTGGGTGTGTGAGCAGGGCAGAGGGACGTGGTCCTGGCAGTGGGCACTGCTCCGGCTTTGGCTCCGGTTGCCAGCCCTCTGCCTCACAGCACACTGCTGGCACAACTGCCTGCGCCTGGCAGCCGTTTTACCATTGTGGTCCCCTACACGTTCCCTGGACTCACGGGGGGCTGTGCGTCACAGGCTGGGGACACACCTGGGTGACCAGGCCTGGAAGGTGAATCGGGGAGGTGGGAGCTGCAGGCAACCCTGGCAGGGCCCCCCAGGGCGTATGGCTGTCCCCAAGAAATAGGAGAGGCAATAGAGCCACCAGATGCTGAAAGCCACCATGCTTTTGAAGGTTCTGCGTGTGTTCGCTGTGCATTGGTCTGCATGTGGCAGGACATGGGGTGGGAACGGGCTGTTCTCACTGAGCCTGTGTGCAGGCAACCATCTCTCAGAGCAGAGGCTGTAAGACCCCAATTTGTATTTCTGTACAGACGCACACTGGCATAGCAGGGGTGCTCCTTGTTCCTCTCAAAGACCTTGGTATGTTTATGTTCCCTGTCTCTCTGTCAGTAATCTGACCCAGCCCATAGCTCAGAGAGGGCCTCTGGGTGCATTTCGTTTCAGCAGGCTCTGAGAGCTTCCAGATGGCACCAGAAAGTGGGACTGCCCCCTGCCATCAGGCAGCCAGGGCAGAGAACAGTCAGAGGCCACCGGCTGTCCCTGCCGGCCTTGCTAAATCACAGCTGTGTGCAGACCATGCCCTGGCCGGAGGAGGTGTGATTGCTCTCCTGTGTGTGTTAACATTAAGGGGGCGGTTTCGGCTTTCTGTAGGGTTGCACAGCACCCACACACACCCCCGAAAGCTGCCGGTCCCTCTGTGCACATGTGACAGTGCTTGGGGGAAATTTTGTCTGACTCGTGTCATTGTGGAAGCAGAAAGATTTTGGCTGTATTTTGCACGGGGAAAAAAAAAAAAAAATCGCCAGGCGGTGCAGGGAGTAGCAGGTCATTGTCATTTGTATTCCCAGGCCTGGAAGGGAGCAATGTGCTGCCATCTATTGATGGATTGATGGGGGGACCTAGTGAGCCGACTCATTTGCATAAACAAGTGCTAATTTCGGGATAAGTGCATGGGGGTGGTGAGAGTAATATCCTTGGCTATGTAGCTTTGAGACCAGGCTGTGTGTGACCTGGTAGAGAGCAGCAAGACCGGCAGAAAGGGCCTGGGACTGTGGGTCCCAGCCACTGTCAAGCCCTCTCCTCAGGGATGCAGATGAAATTCAGGGACTGGCATGTGATCAGGCAAATCAGCTTGCAAACAAATCCATATTAATTAGAAACCCACAACATCATCATGAGATGTGCTCTGCTTTGGGGCCTCTGTGCTCTGCCAGGGAGATGCCTTTTGGCTGGGTTTGTCAGCCATGAGTGGCACAGCCAACTATTCTGGGCAGTAGAATAGAAATGGCATTGAAGCAGCAGGTTTGAAGGTCACTTCTGGTGAATGCAAGAAAAGCAGGACAGGCCATTTTCCTGTGGAGGTGTGGAGAGAGGTTCCCAGGTGCCTGCTCAGACTATGGTCCTTTGCTGGTCTTCTGCAACTAGTTGTCTCTGTTACAGCTGTCAATTGCCACTCCACCAGTTTTCTCAAAAGGGCTCCTATTTATGTGCTGAAGAGTTCTCCTTGAAAAAGCTCTGGATCTAGATCTGGTTATTTTTCATCATACAATGATGATCACTATATGATCATCGCTCAGGCCAGTGATGATCAAAGCAAGTTGATGCTGAAGCCCTGAGAAGTCACTAGTGTCTGTTGCTCTGTGGGTGCTGGCAGCAGCTGACCTGAAGGTGATTACCAGGCTGTATCCCATGAGGAACCTGCTCCCCATCTGCCGCAGGGAGAGGCTGACACTTGCTGAGGAGCATCAGTGATGAAGGGCAGCGAGCGCTGTCCCTGCCCACTACACTAGAAAGACTGTCCTCATCACTGTCGGATTCGTACTTGCTGGCAGGGTCATCTCATGCTGTCTGAGGCAGCGATGAACCACAGCAGAGTAGATGATGTGCATTCCAGGAGGAGCCTTCTCCAGAGCAGCAAAACCTTTCCTGCAAAGTCTAGGACAGCAGAGAAGAGCTTTGATGTCTCTCGTACCTGGAGGAGGTCCTTGGGGAAGAAACTTGCAGTGCAGGCACTAAAAGGGGTCTACTGGGGCATGAGGTTTTGGCTCTGTGTTTGTGAGTCTGTCTGTATAGCATCTGCTCTGGCTTAGTGTTGTACTTCCAGTAAACACCTGGAGCAGGCACCTGTGATAGCAGCTTTTCACTGGAATTAGAGAGGAAGAAGCTGAATGGCCATCACTGCCCAGATTAAGGCAGCACAGTAGAAGGTGATAAAGGGGTGGCATTTTGCTGAAACCAGTTTTGGAGCCAAAATAGCTGTTTTTTTAGCAGTGTCTGTGATTCAAGGTAGATGATGGAATGATGACAGCCTGCTGAGAGAGCGCCTGTGGTCTCCTGCCTTGGAAGTGATGGACAGTGGTATATGGAGGTGACAGGACAGTAGGATGATGAGAAGTGACAGAAGAGAACAACAAACATGCCTTCAGAAAAGCCAGGCAGGCTTTCCTCCAAGGGCTGAACAAATGGTGCTCAGAGGGGATGGTCCCACAATACTGTGGCTACAGGGACAAAAAGAGATTCAGAAGTTCCCTTCCCCATCTGCCTGTTTCTGTCCCCTCTGCTGCTTAACTCAACGGGTTTTGGGGCCACACGGTGTAAATCAAACTAGTGCCTTGATCCAGACTAAGAGTAGCCCCGCCAAATAAGGAGGACAGTGAGGAAACGGGGGAACAGTGTCCCAGTATACCTTTGCTGATTCCTATCACAGTAACACCCTGTTGTCCCTTAGAAACGTCTTAATTCTTGTACAGCAAGTACTGGTGAGTGGAGGTGTACTATCTGAGTGTTTTCTTTCGCCAAAGTACAGGACTGTAGGATAAAGCTCCACCAGGTGACTCTCCAGGGAACCCACAGGGGAAGACCTGAGCGAGGTGAGCTGGTTTTGAGTTCACCATCCTGCCAGGGATCACTTGTGTCACACAAAGGAGCCCAGAGGAGCATATATTCAGTGTCTCCAGCTCCCACTGTCTCACTGGGAGCGGGCAGAAGTTCCATGGGTCCAAACAGGCTTTATCTCCTGTTCCCCAAAAGAGCCCCTCTTGCTGAGACACAGCCCACTGAAGGAGCGAGGACTGCCCTGCCTTGCTGTGCCAAAACTGCCTCCACACATCTTGGAGAGCTCACAGCAGGGAGTCAGATGGGGTGAAACACAGCCTCCCCTCCGAAGCTGGGACAGTCTTCTCTCCAGAGGAGGTCACATCATCTGGAGGGCTGGGTCTAGGAGGTCTGGCTGGGTGGGATCGCTCCACCGATCAAATCCAAACCACACTCTTTTCACAAGCTTTTAACTTGTGCATTTTTTCCAGGCAACACAGATCTGCTTTGGATGCTCTTGGAGCATCTCCTGATGACAGGTGGGCTGTTACATGGTGCAGATCTACCCACACAGGGGAAGGGAAGTAAGGCTGGGGGGATGCAGCCATCTCGGTTTAGCACAGACAGGGGCAGCAGTGAGCCAAACTCAAGGACACGCAACTACATCTTTCCTCTCCTAGTTCATAACCTCCTCTGCACCGCAGCCTGCGTGGTAGCAAACTCCATCCCTGGCTTGCGGCTTCTCCTTCAAGCACTTGAGGGCACTGTTGGAGTTTGGAAAGCGGCAGATTTCTGGGGTGAAAGATCTGTTTGGTGTCATACCATGCAGAGGCACATCGCTTTGCAAGGACTCTGGCTTCCACTGGAAACCTTGCTGTTCACAGGGGTTTATAACTTTGGCATGAATGCCTTGTCTCAGGCAAAACCTTCCACAGAAAATATCAAGTGATGGAGACATCTTTTATCTTCCTTTTTCTGTAAGCATTTCTCCCTTCCATCTTTCTAACCCCAAACCTTCTCTCTTGAGGGTCTGATTTCAGGGAAAGGGGTGGGCTTGCACAGAAGCAGTAAGTTTTATCATATGGAAATACACTTCACCTGCAACAGTTACTTTAAGTTTCCAAAGTGCTATTGATGCAAGGACTTTCAGCCTGTCCATGTGCAAACACAAATCTCATCACTCCTGATGTTGGCCTCCAAGGGAGCCAGCAGAGCAGGCTGTGCTCTGGGGTCAATGCTACAACGGCTCAGAAGGACTGCACACAGCACTCTGCTGGGAAGCTGTGCCAGAATAATTATTTACATGTGCTGGCATAAAGTAATTACTAATGGAGCGGAACACCATGCACAACCCCTCCAACCTGTCCCAGAGGAGACACTGGGAGTTACCAAGCAAAGTGCACTCTCCGTGTACCAAACTCCAGATTTCCTCCCACCCCAGTCCTTCCCCCTCCTCCCAGGGGAACAGCTGTTTCATGGCAGAGGAGTCTCTGTCCCCGCTTTTGCCTCATCCTCTTGCCTTTGCCAGCACATTCCAGGGTTGTAGTCAGAGACTGTAATTGCCCTCTTTATTCCAGCTAAATTGCCCTCAAAATGGAGTCTGATG